AATTATTTAGACTTTTAATTATGGTATAATGCGTTTTTCAAATGTAGACGAACATTCTAAATATTTATTCCAAAAAACTACGCATTATTTTTAAAAAGTTACAAACAAATATACACGATTTAGATCTGAAAAAGTAGTTTCATTTTTAATGTGTAACAATCGCGAAAATATAAGAACTCAATAATAAAATATTGTTTTGTTTCTAAAGAATTGTTTGCTTTTCATTTTGATTTAGTTAGGTTAATATTATTATTATACTAATGTATATTTAATATAATTTTTGTAGTGATAATATAAAAATACAAATTAAAAAATTATTAATAAAAAATTATAAAGAGTTCATTTAGGGAAGCCACCTTGCCAATTTCTGGCGCCAAGCAGTAATGCTCACATTACTGCAATCCGATGGCGAAGGGCACAGTGGCAGTACTCCCCAGATCTTGGCGATTGAAAGCTCTGAGTGGCGCTGCAACTGTTACGGGTAGGCGTGTCACTTACCACCAAGCCCACGACAAATTCGTCGTTATACTACCTAGTATTAAAAAATGTAGTACCTACAACAAATAAACTTCATTCCTTTTTTTTATAATACAAAGTGACGGAACGAACAAGTCCTGCGCCTGATAGTAAATTATGCGCCTATCCATAAGAGTTGTAGTGCCACTCAGAGCTTTAAATCGCAAAGATCTAAGGGGCACTGCCTGTGTTCCCGTCACCCTGAGACATAAGTTGACAAGTCCGATGTGCCTGTAATTTCACCAGCACCCTTACCCTTCAAAACCGGGACACAGTAATGCTGACATTACTGCTTGGCGGCAGGAATAGATAAGGCGGCAGTACTACCCTGGATGAATTTTCACAAGGAGCTCTACTGCTACTGCCTTATCCATTCGGGATAGATTTGTGTTTTCCTGTACAATAAATTATTAAGTAAATAAATAGACAAAGTAAGTACCTAATACTGCTAAAAATTGCTTGCCTCATTTAGAAATCGACCTGACCAAGTGTGAAAAAACAAGCAGCATGTTTTTTATGATGCCGATCGAAAGGGTCAATTATATTAATTAATGCCTTAGTATATCCAATATCTAAAGTATTTTCCCTCCTAGTCGCATATGATAACAACTTTCATATGAATCACTGACCACATACTATCAAAACTTATTTAAAAACAGAACGAATTCCATTGTCTTTTGATTTCGATTAAAGTGGTGTATATGAACATTGTTATCATAATTGAACCTTTTTTTAACGTTCCTCTAAATAAGTCCATTAATAGTTATATTAAGTATAATGTTTTGCAATAAAGCTACTGTCAATTTCTATTGTTTTAATATAGATAATTTTAAAATAATAGAGAGAAGTTTTTTTTTGGGCCTCCTGTATAATTAACCTGTACATATTGTAGAGATCTAATAGCGATATTTTAGTGAACCACTATAATTTCAAATAAAGGATGGGAGCAGTAATATTCAATTCTTTATTGCATTTACCATAATGTTAAATAGGATGGAAAAGGTTTATTATAGCTAAGTTAACAGCGCATTAGGAACCCAGTCGGGTACTGCAAATTATAGAGAGAAAGAGGAGGATTTACTCTTTACAATATTATTTTGAAATTTAGGCATGTTGCTTTTTCAATGTGTACATTAGTTCATATTTATACAATTGCAAATTAAAGAAAGCATATTTTTTTAATTAAGATTGATCAATCAGAATAATAACGCCTTACAAGTCGATTTTTAACACAAACAATCCTGCATCTTCTGTACAAGTAAACACTACACAACAGTTTTATGCAAGTAACACGCGTAACGCTCCCTTACGAATAGAGCTCTCGTTTTGTAACTTTCAAGGTCGCTAGCGATTGAACAAAAGCAGAAAGGGATATTCTCGGTTGCTTATTCAACAAAATATTTAAATTATTTGTCGTTCTATTCTGTTAACGAAGTTTTCTTTTTTTAATTTCAAATAAAAAATAATTATTATAGACTATAAATGAATGAACAACTACGTTTGTACTTTATTTTTTAAGTTTTTTAAATTGAATTTACTAGCATTGATTTAAAATGTAATTTGTGTAACTTAAAGTTTAATTATATTATCATGTTGGACTGTGTTGTCTGAATTCAATTCATTATATTATAAATTTGTTGTTATGAGTTGTTACAACATTGTTATGAGTTGGGATTAATAAAAGTTATATGCACGCATGGGCAAATGTACTTTTTTAGATTCTCGACTCTTTTGCTGATTTTAACTATATTTACGAACCAAACTATTTTATTCTTTTTTTCCGGATTTAAAATCGCGTATATTTTGTTTTCTGCCCACAACGTTGGTTGTTTGAAAAAACAAATATACGTTATTTTAAATTACGAAAAAAATTGTTTCATTTCCAGCGTGACATCTTGTCATCTCATGACAATTGCAAAAACCTTATGTTAGATATTATTTAAATATTAGAATTTGTAGTCGGTTTTAGTGAAGTAAATATTATAGTCATTTTATTATTGTACATGTAAAAGTCTCATTTCTGACCGTTTCACTGATGTTAAACGAAAATAAAAAAAATTACTCATTGACATTCTTGTGATTTTGGCGCGTTAAGAACATTGTGTGCGATAAATGGCGGGTTTTTGTAGTAACGGTTTTTACTTGTGTAATTTTTTAATTAGTCAATTTTTAGTTTAAGGGTTATGAGTTTCTTAATTATTTGTTACCTGTATAAAGTGAAAGCTCTATAGCCAGTGCTCAATAAATAAATTAATAGTAATATTGTGTGCAACGAATATATTACCTATTCGAAAAGTTTAAAAAAATTAGTGTCATAATAGAATATTTATTCTTAGAACTAGATACGTAGAGAGCAATGTTTTACAATAAAATTGTACTTTGTAAAAAGCGACTCGTTATAACTCAATAAATATTTGATTTCAATGTATCTTGGGTACATAGGAGTCATTCGAGAAGGTTCTGTAGTGGTATATTAATGTATAATTGAATTAAACACTACGAGTTAATTAGGCTTTTGTTCAATCAACTTTAACAGTAATTCGTGTAAATTAAATCAACCTGATATTACTATATTGAAGTTAATGATCAAATTAAATACCAGACAGTTGAATCTTTTACACGTCGCTTATGATGTTTAAATTTATATCAATATACAAGGTGTAGGTAACATAAAGATGGGACCATAATTCATTTTGTAATCGTACTCGTGTATGTAATACATCAGTAGTAATATGTATATTAGAGGGTGTAATATAAAGTTGTGTCCAAAATTAATTTCTAATCGTATTAACTTCGTATTCGTAATCGTATTTGTAATCGTATTTATTTAAAAAATATTATTTATAAATTTTTTGTCTTCCTACCTACATAGGTAATATTTGTGCGGTCAATCAAATATTTTGTATTGGATACAAAAAACTTCAGAACATTTTTTATTGGATAAAGTTAGAAATGAAAATATTTCTTCCGGATCTGAGATCCGGAAGGTCTAAATTGGGTATTTGATTTTTTGAACAAAACGTTTGCTCGTTTTAATAAACAAATTTATTTAGATTCAGAAATTTATTAGGATTTAAATCCGGTTAAAATAGTTTTATTTCCGACTCGTTTGTATAAAGTAGTTAATATACCTACCTAAGCGCGATCATCAGTTGAAATAGGTACAGTTGCATGTTTTTGAGATACCTTGTACAATAACACAATTTTAAGTATATATATATGTATTTCTACATTTTTATTATCTTAATTAGTCTATGTGTTCTGTTTTAGAGAATCAGTTTAGTACAAATAACATTACGAGTAATTTATTTTTTGTTTTGGAGTACCTAATAAATAAATAATTTAAAAAAACATTTATTTGTTTCACTAGGTACCTACATGTAAAAACTTCCGAATGCAGTAGTGTATCTCTATCACTATTAAGCCATTTTTATAAAGAAAATCATGCAACATAATCAATCAACTTGAGATATTAAAGCAAATTAATCTCAACGTAATAAACAAAAAAATAATTTATCCTCTCTTTAACGGAAGAGCAAGTCACGTCAAGGAAATGTACCCTGACTTCCCAGTGTGCTTAGTCGATGCCTCGCTTTGATGACTGGCAGATTCGACCAAATTGCTTCTATCACATTAATATTGGATTCCGGCCGCCCAGGAGCCGCAGTCACACCTACGCGATATATTTAATTTAATGCATACAAAGCGATTGACATGCCTCCGCGGCTCCGGCCTCCGCTTTTTCATAACGACCCACAAAACTTGTTTTAAAAATTAAAATTGGAACTCGTAAATGGATCTTGTTACGGATGTCAATGTCCAACGATTCGATACAGCTCTACCTTTGGCTGGGACAATGATTTACAAAAATGTCGAACTCTTTGCGCGCCATAGTATTTAGTGAACATGGAACGGGGGACTAAAAAAGATTTTGTATTGATTTACTCACCATAAACATTAATAGAAACATCGAAGAATAAATAAGCACCATGTAGTGGTGACTTTATATGCGCTCGCATGTGGCAAAATCCAAACATCAGAACAGTCAAGTTAAATGAGATAATATATTATAAAATATTATGACTAACCATGTTTACTAACAAAAAATAAAAGGTGCCAGTTGAATTAATGAATGTGCGAGGCTTTACGGCTGAGCGTCCGCCAGCACCGCCATCTAGCGGGCGTCGGCGCCGCCCACAGCGCGCGGGGCGCTTGCCCGCGACACCGGCCACATGTCGCGCTTATGAATATGAGGCGTTATGATTATGAAATATGCCCCGCCCCAAATATGGAATATGGAGGAGGGGGCCCAGTGGAACGCGTGCGAATGGGCGAAGTTTGATTTATGAGCCGGGCGCGGCCCCGCCTCCCTGTCATAACCGTATACCTGGTGCGCGCGCGCGCTCGCCGCCCGCCGCCCGCCGCCGCCTCGCGCTCAGTCCCGCTTCAGATGGCGAGAGGTGCGCTCGGCCGCACTCCGTGTCCGCTCCGCACTCCGTACTTCGTCCGAGTCGGCCGAGCCGAGTAAACGGCGCCGCGAGTGTTCCACTGAGTGCCCGCGTGGAGTCCCCGCGCTTGCCGGGCCGCAGTCCGCGCCGCGCCGCCTGCCATGCGCTGGCCCTAGCCGCATCAGCTCCAGCGCGACAACATGCCGCGCGTCAAGCCTGCCTGCGTCCGACGCGTCTCCATCGGTACTTAACTCCTCACTACAAACATCCACCTCCGCATATCACACACAAGCGCCACTTAAGGAACAGTGAAAATATTTACAAGTCGTACCGTGATTTTTCCGACTCTATACGTAACTGATTTGAAAGTCACGAAAATGATTCAGTTAGCGACGATAAAATTCGGCATTCAACAGAAAGTGAGCACAAAAAACCGCCTTGCACGTGGTGAGTAAACAGTGCAGTGAATTTCCACATTAGATCAAAAATTAGAAACAAATATTTTCTGTAGCACCAACAAGTTAAGGGGGAAAATAGAGCGGCCAAATATAGGACGTTTTCTTTTTACCGACTACGTTGTAAGTAAAATTAAAATATTTTAAAGCTGGACCTTACCAAAATTTCTCATCTCACCAACAGTCACCTCTAAAATACAATGAATCAATCTCCATCAACAATTCAAACTATTGACAGCAACTGTTTGGAGTATCCTAAAATATAACAAAGTATATTTAATATTTTTATGTAGGTATTGATGACATAATGTGTCTGTAAACGGAAACATAAAATTATAGAAAATTAACACTTGCTACAACAATTTAGTTTTGAACCCAGATGGGAAAAAAATTTCTAAATAAACAAAACAGTATATTTGTCCTAACAATACTTTAATTTAATGACTTTCATTTATTCATTCCTCAAGCTCTACATTTTAGTCAGAAAACATTAATTTTGAAATTTTGATATTTTCGCGCCGTTACTAAATTTTAAATCCAGCTATATTCAAATTTAAAGGGAACTTTAGTATTTATTATGTTTTCAATTACCGTTTTCTTTTCCTCATTGCGATGTAACATTTATTTCATTCTATATTTACAATTGACACAGCCAGTTTGTGCTCATCAAACATATTTTTTCATTTGGCGTTTTTATCATTTATCCACTGAACCGAGATGTAATTTTTGTTAATGAGAAAAAATATCGATACAAAATAAGTAGGAAGTAATCACTTCTTTGTTTTTTGTGGGTATTTAGATGCTAAGAATTATTACTAAAACTCTGGTATTGTAGAAATTGCATTAAAATCTTTTTGCACACTGAATAAAAACAGAGAATGAACTTTTTCTTTTTTTTTTGTCACTGGCTGGAAGAATGTTTTATTTGAAGTAAAATTTCAATGTCCAATGTTTGTTTAGACTTACTTTATTTGTAGACCTCAATAGAACATAGTTTTATTAAATAAATGCATGTTTACTTTTACATCATAGTTATGATCTCCAACTAATTATATTTGTGTTCAATGTTAAGTGCAAAGGATTGTATTTTAAAGAAAATATATACCTACCGGTGGTTTTTAAGGTAAAATTAAAATGTCTTAAATAATGAGAACCATTTACGGCCAGTTCCAATGATTTACACTAGACGTTTTGAGGGTACTGCTGACTTAGCCAGATACTCATTAAATTAACATGTACTAAAAACAATAAATCTTTAAAGTTTCTATTAAACGTGAACATAAAGGTATGATTAATTCACTCGACATTTTAACAGCGCATTTGGTAAGAGCCACTAAAAGGCACTATTTTAATAGAATGACAGGCTGTCAAATTTTATTATTGTGACCGCTAGCGTCCCGGACTTATCGCATTGCTAGTTTTATAGGTGCTCTATAAAATATTGAAGCTTTATCTCTTTACGATTGATACAACTGACCGCTCATATTAATATGAAAGATGTTCTCTATTTGTTTGCTCCACTAATAAATACGAAAAATTCGTTAATGATCCGGTTCTATTTAGTACTAAAATGAGAAATTGGTAAGCTTAAATGAGTCCGTTTACCTTGAATAATGAATAATGATTACTTTTTATGTGTATATTATGGACTTTCGTATGGAGATTAATAGGCTTGAGTTTTCGCGTCTGTGATTAATATGATTATCAAAGCTACGTGAAACATAATTAAACAAGAAATTAACCAAGGTATTTAAAAAAAGTACATTAAACTACCAGTATACCTGCGTAGTTGTACAATAATAATATTCCGAATGCTTAAATTATTTTTTTCTGTGAATTCTCGTCCGCAAGTTGCGGGCGGCACGCTTATTTTGTAACAAACACTTTTGTGTTTTTTCATGTTTCTCAGTAACTGCTGTATTACGCGACTGGTGTCGGGCTTTGAACCGCCCGCTTGGCCGTGAGGACCCAAAACTACTGTCAAACAGACACCACTAATCCTTGTGAATATCTTAAGCAACCGGCATTTCGCTCAAATGAGATTTTTAATCCCTTGCCGGAACATTACCCAGGATTATCAATGTTTTGTAAATTTTTGTGCCTGTGCTCACTTTTTCGGCCTTTCAGTGTAAACACGATAATCGCAAAAAAGGTACGACAAAATTGATATTCTAAAAATATTTCATTCTTAGCTTAAACCATTACCTACCTACTATATGTTTTTAAGGTATCGGTTCACAGGTACAAGCAAACAAGTACTATGAATAAGTTTGGAATTTAATAGTGAAAGTTCGAACTGACAACTTAAACGGTTAGTTAAATATTACAATTGATAAATAGTTTAAATAATTGATAAACCTGCTCGGGGAATATCTACATATGTATATATAAAAAAGAACATTAATGTGCACTCACAAATAACAAAAAAAATAAGCGAATGAATTAGTTGGTATATTATAATAGTATGTTAAAAAATATTTTTATACTGCCATAGTTATTTTTTACAAGTAAATCCGGTTTTGAGTTGAAAACTATTTCAAATGTAGAGCAATAAATAAGATATGTAGTTATTACTTAAACTATTAATTAAGCCACACCTATTATTTATAAATATATGGTCAGGGGTATATGTATTTTAATATAGTATGCTAGGCAAAAACATCAATTTCATAGTCTCAAATCAGGGACGTCCTAGGTCAATAAGTATCAGATATTATATATGCACATCAGACATTTTTTTTTGTAGCACCAAATAAACACAACAGAAGTATTAATTCAACAGAAGATGAGCAAAGGTTGACCTATCACTAAAAGAGATCTCTTCTAGGCAACCCAAAGTAGTGAGAGCAAAGGTCGTAAGCGGGCAACAGTGTGTTAGAGAGAATGAGAGAGATAATATTTTATAAGCTACCAGATAAATAAAAAAAAGACTTACCGTTATTTTTTGATGAAATTACACGCACACGGGACTTGTCAACTTTTGTCTCAGGGTTTGGACGCAGTGGCAGTGCCCCTCAGATCTTTGAAATATAAAGCTCTGAGAGGCACTGGAACTGTTATGGACAGACGTATCGCTTACCGTCAGGCACAAGATTTGTTTGTTCCGTCACTTGATATTATAAAAAAACACCAATGTGCATAGGTATATAAACAAATACACGTACATAAATATGTAAAAAAAAAGCAATTAGATGATTACAAGGAGAGTTCAGCAAGAAAATGCGCTGTCAAACTTTTCTTGACAGAAGTATACGACGGGCTAGACTGGACATGAGAAGGGAGTCTGCTCCACAATTACCCTGCACGAGAACAAAAGGAGTTAAAAGAAAAGAAAGACTTATTTTCTGTTTTTAGGGAATACTTTAATAAAGCAAGTAAACTAATATTTTAACAGAATGATTCAATGAAAAGTTTTGAAATATCTACTTTTTCAAAACACTCAAGTTTTGAAACACGTATTTCATTTAAAAAGTTACGTAGGTAATTTGAAATAAATAAATAATAATGCGTATATGTATTTGGAATTTCAACTATTGTATTCAACATTCAAATTGTATTGTCATAGAGACCTCGTTAATTACGTAGTATTATTTTATAAATACTTTAACATATTAATAAGTTAAGTTTTTTTTTCTAAGACTTAGGTACTTCAACAATCCGTTTAATTATACAAATGTAAATAAGAAATAGATACTCAGCTTTATTATTTCGTGACTTTTTTTATGTAACAGCGTTTTTCAAATAATGTATTTATTTGACAAAGGCCCAATATGTAATCATCATCATTGACTCATTGATACGTGCCACTACTGGGCACGGGTTTAGGGCAGAAAGTTTAGGCCGTAGTCCCCTGGCCAAATGCGTGTTGGGAACTTCACGTGATTATGAATCTTTTTCTGACGTGCAGGTTATATCACGTTGTTTTCACTGAAAATCTCATGGTAGATTTCAAATTAAATTTCACACATAAATTCCGAGAAACTCAAAGGTGCGAGTCCGGACAAAACCCTCGGCCTCTGTTTGAGAGGCGGTAGGTCAGACCATTAAGCTACCACGGCTTGTATGTAATATGTAATAATAACGAATAATCGGAAATACGAACCTGAAACACGAAATATGTTATTTATTAAAAATAATTCTAATTCTATAAGAATGTAATGAGTTGACTGTATTTGCATCCGATAAATCAATTTCATTGTTTAAAACTAGAATTAACATAAATTCCGAGTCATATTCGCCTTTAACAATTTTCCGATTTCACATCAATCACAAATTAAAATCTTTCCGAAATTAAGATTTAAACTAAGATTAATAATCGCTTGCAATAAAATAAGTAGGTAGGTAAATTGAACATTTTCAAGTATTTGTAAAAACTGTAAAATGTTTTTTATAATTAATTAAATTAACATAAAACACAATAATTATTTAAGAAACTATAACGGAGATATCTGCCCTCCTTGTCATAACTAACGTAATCGACATTTTTAGCGAAATCGAGTTTTTAACATATCTGAGATCTGCGAACCGAGATCTACAATCTTATTTAGTTACACTTTTATTTATTATTAATACAAAGATCGACCACTTAGAAAAAAATCCTTCGATCCGGCCGAATTCAAACTGACGTCTCCTAGCAAACCGTGGCAGACGCTATGCCAACTCAACAAAAATTTAATTACAATTTTATTGTTAAGCAAAACCAGCGTAGGTAATTGATATTTTGTAAGGTCACAATAAAACTTTAGGCGCCAATATCTCGAAAGTTACTGAAATGCTAATGCGTTAGTTATGACAAGGATATTCAGTCGTTATTCCGCTGCGTAATATCATCTATTTTCATTGCAGGCGGCTACTGTAATGGCAAAATCGAACCATCCACCATCTCCACATCCATCTCTATAAGATTATAGAGAAGAATATTAGAAAGAAAACTTTAAAATTTAGAAAACCTAGTGAAGTAATTTCACAAAAAATATTTGAAAATCAATTCAATAAAAATTTGATTACAGTTAATAGCGACATCTGTACCTAGGGCTGATAGATGTAAAGTTACCTAACTGGGTGACGAAATACATTCATAGATTTCTCATATTTGGCGCTACGGCAAAGAGGCGTTTGAATACCAAATACAAAGATCCGACAACAACCACATAAAAAAATTCGTGAGATCCGCTGGTTCGTTCCGCGGCTTAGTTGGCATAGCGTCTGGCACGGTTTGCTAGAAAACGTCGGTTCGAATCCAGCCGAATCCAAGGATTTTTTTCCGAGTATTCGATCTTTGTATTAATAGTTATAACAAACTAGTGGAGTAATTTCACAAAAAAGAATTGAATATCAATTAAATACAAATTTAAGAAAACTTTATTTAAAAGTATTTATATTTGTGAAAGTGTTCGTCCAGGGAAGTACTGCCACCTTCCCTATTTCTGCCGCCAAGCAGTAATGTGAGCATTATTGCGTTCCAGTTTTGAAGGGTAAGGGTGCTGGTGAAATTACAGGCACATGGGACTTTGCAACTTATGTCTCAGGGTGACGGGCGCAGTGGCAATGCCTCTCAAATGTTTGAGATTTAAAGCTCTGAGTGGCACTGCAACTGTTATGGACAGGTGTCGCTTACCATTAGGAGCACGGCGTGTTCGTCCCATCACTTAGTATCATAAAAGAAAATTATCACCTTTATTTTAAAGCACACTGACAATACAATACTTTAACCTAATAGCCATAAAAAAATATTAGTTTTCGTCTGCAACTTTGTCCCTTACTCATATGTTTGATAGGGACCATAAGTAATACAAAACCTAGAACCGGCCGGTCGATTCGTTAAAATGCGAATAACGAACAAATGAACAGACATACGAATTTAAATAATGAAGCTATTGGTTATGATTTATTTATGATATTCAAGTCAGCTAGCAGTCAGACAATCTACTTAGGTAATGGAAAGTGACACACTACACACTTACACACTACACACGTACACTTTCGTAACCTAAAGCATAACATGTAACTCCTCCTCATCAAACTCCTATGTTTGTTATTGTTCTGACTCTCTCTTATATTCAATACATAAGGGAATCTCCATACTTATCCGTTATCGGCTTGAGCCGGTCAGAAATAAATCTTTTCGTCCTTACAAAGACGTTGCGCGTTTCGCATTCTCTTTTCGCTGGTGAAAAACGCACATGTTTTTCGCTCTTGTTACATGTGTATAACTAAAACTGTTTCTAACCGGCTTAATACGCTGCCATGTCGATGAGTGTGGTAACTCTCTAAAGCTGCTAACAGATTGACTGTACGTTTGCAGTTAATGTGTGAAGTTGATAACGACTTCACGCATTGACTGCGTGAAGTCGAAAACGACTACATGCAGTCGAGATCGACTTCATGCCGTTAATGTGTGAAATCGTTATCTAAGACCTCCTCTGCATGAAGTTGATAGCGACTTCCCGCATTAATTGCAAGAAATCGAAACCGACTTCATGCAGTTAATGCGTGAGGTTGACTACGACTTCAACATGTCAGCAGCCTAACGCAGCAGTACTACTTTACGGAAGAAATAGATAGGATGTACCTAAGTACCGCGCTTACAAACTCGTGATCTATACTAAAAAATAAAGTATTTAAAAACCCGTAGAAACTGTTATAATCATCAATAAACGATAAACAACGGCTGTTCCGCCTATTTGCACCCAAGTCTAGATAGGTACTTTAATATTGCTCATCTTATAATAAATACAAAAGGAAATAATCCATTTGGCAGTACGCCGACTAAAATGATTGTTCGATCACCTGTTACTGAAGACAATTATCTTTTAACATCCTATTAATGACAATTATCTTTTAATGTTATGGAGTTCTTATTCAAGGTTTTGCGCAATATATTTTTGTGTTCCTGCACACGTTTATACAGTTAATACGTACCTATATATATATATATATATATATATATATATATATATATATATATATTACTCTAGTCTATACTTGTCAAGAATATAGTGATGAAAGATTGTATCAGGGTGGGTATTAACAGATTACACAAATTTTTCTCCCGACATAGAATTCTATTGATATTTTTTAATTACTGTATTAGTTTTTATGATCCATGATTTACACTTCGCAATTAAATTTCTGAATCTTACAAAGAATCTTACAAAATACCACGATGATTCCTAATTCTTGAATTAATTTAAAACACACACCACGTTGAGAAACGTATGCAATATTGTTTAACACAAAATGTGTCACAGCGTTACATTTGTATATATTTTCACAATTAGATTTCAAAACAATAAAGACCGCGCGCGTTTTAGTGCAACTAGCGCCATCTCTTGTTAAGTAGCGGAACTTGCAATAAACTGCTTGCTATTCACATAATTTATTCTTTTACAAATTTCGATATTATTAGAATAATAATTAATTGTTTCTAAATCCTTATCGCACGCTTATATATTTATTTACCTTCATTTGTTGCATATAGGTAATAATGTCGAAGTAACGTAACAGATTACAAACATACATATAGGTATATAATCATAGTAATAAAGTAACATATCTTTTACATTATTAGGTTGTAATCTTTACAGAATCCATTGTATTTAATACAATATTTTTGTTCTAGGTGAAAGTTCCGGATCATGTTCGGACGACGACAACATTGTGTCGGAGGAAGCGAGAGAGAGATCCGAGACGCACATGTGTCCGCGATGCCAAGAACAGTTCGAAAATCTACACGACTTCCTCTACCACAAACGAGTTTGTGACGAAAAAGCGATGCAGATGGGCGAAGACAGAATGCATTCCGACCCTGAAGAGATGGTCGTTTCTGGGGACGAAGAAATGGATGGTCCCAAAAAGCGATTGGAACAAGTCAGGAGACATCGGCAAGATGCCGAAAACAACAATAGCCTCGAAGATGGTGAAGCAGAAGTGCCTGAAGCCGATGTTCCACCAGTTGGACTTCCATTTCCAGTGGCTGGTCATGTAACGCTCGAAGCGCTACAAAATACCAAAGTTGCAGTAGCACAATTTGCCGCAACCGCAATGGCCAATAATGCCGATAATGAAGCGGCTCTTCATGAACTCGCAGTATTACAAAGTACTTTATTCACGCTGCAACATCAACAAGTTTTTCAACTTCAACTGATACGTCAATTGCAAAACCAATTGTCACTCGCTCATAGAAAAGACGATAGCCAAAGCCCTCCGCCGAATGAACAAGAGCCTAACGTTCCTGTCGCTGCCGCTCGATCGCCGTCGCCACCTCCGCCGCGGGAGCCAACTCCTGCTACTCCCGCTCCTCCCACTAGCCAAAACTTGCCGTCGACCCATGCGCATTTAATTCCTAAGACGGAACCTCTAACTGTTCCTAAACTCTCCACCATTTCTCCACCTATGATGACCCATCCGCCCTACAGTTCCATATCATCATCGTTAGCGTCATCAATTATAACGAATAATGATCCACCGCCGTCTCTCAATGAACCGAATACTCTAGAAATGCTACAAAAACGGGCCCAGGAAGTACTTGATAATGCATCCCAGGGATTACTAGCAAACAACCTTGCCGACGAACTTGCATTCCGTAAATCAGGGAAAATGTCTCCATACGATGGAAAGAGTGGAGGACGTAACGAGCCATTTTTCAAACATCGATGCCGGTATTGCGGGAAAGTATTCGGAAGTGATTCTGCACTACAAATTCATATACGTTCACACACAGGAGAACGACCTTTTAAATGTAACGTTTGCGGATCACGATTTACCACCAAAGGCAACTTAAAAGTTCACTTCCAAAGGCACACGTCAAAGTTTCCACATGTTAAAATGAATCCTAATCCCGTACCAGAGCACCTGGACAAATATCATCCGCCTTTATTGGCTCAACTATCGCCGGGACCTATCCCCGGAATGCCGCACCATCCACTTCAATTTCCTCCGGGTGCACCTGCACCATTCCCGCCCAGCTTGCCGCTGTACAGACCGCCGCATCACGACCTAATGCCACCTCGCCCACTCGGAGACAAACCATTACCACCACATCCTCTATTTGCAATGAGAGAAGAACAAGATGCTCCAGCTGATCTCAGTAAGCCTTCTGCGCCGAGCCCTACTCGATCACTACCTGAAGTAGGGTTTAAGTCTGAACCGCATGACGAGGAAAGTCAACGAGATTCCAGTTTCGAAGAGGCTGATCGTGTTACACTCAAACGAGAACCTGATGAAAATGACACAACGCAAGATACTGAGCATGATCGATACCCTTCCACATCCCCCTACGACGAATGCAGCATGGACTCTAAGAACAGCAATGAAGATCAAGTCGGCAGAGAAAGTCCACATGTGAAGCCCGACCCGGATCAGCCGGAAAATCTCTCAAGTAAGAATTCATCGATATCTGGACCAATTTCAATAGCAACGGGACTACGTACTTTTCCGACATTTCCTTTATTTCCTCACTCACCCCCCAGCAGTGTGTCCTCTGGTAGTTTAACTCCATTCCCAAATACTACACAAGGCGTCGTAGACATTGATTTAGCTCGCGATCCATTATATTATAATTCGTTATTACCGCGTCCTGGTAGTAATGACAATTCATGGGAAAGTTTAATAGAAATAACAAAGTCTTCTGAAACCGCAAAGCTACAACAATTAGTAGATAATATCGACAACAAAGTATCCGATCCAAACGAATGCATAGTATGTCACCGCGTTTTATCTTGCAAAAGTGCTTTACAGATGCACTATAGAACGCATACCGGCGAACGACCCTTCCGATGCAAATTGTGTGGCCGCGCTTTTACGACCAAAGGCAATTTAAAGACGCATATGGGCGTACATCGCATAAAACCTCCCGGTCAAATGTTACATCAATGTCCAGTGTGTCACAAGAAATTTGCAGACCCTACAATTTTACACCAACATATTAGGCTTCACACCGGTGAGCGTGGTACTATTCCTTTCGATCCGACTCGGAATTTCGAAATTAATGGGTTTCCTACACTGAGTAATGGTCCAGACGTCAACGACTACACTCCTTACCGACCCATACCGCCGCCCTTATTTCCAACTCCTTCTACTCCTGGCGACCGACGGGCGGACTCCCGCGGGACCGACGATGAGAGCGGCCGGGACGAGCGTGAGCCCGCTATTCGGGAGTTCGACGACGACTCAGACATAAAGGATCGTCGAACTTCGCCGCTCTCCGTCTGCGCCTCGGCGTCCGAATACGAAGTAAAAACCATCACCACAACGGCTTCCCTCCCATCGGCGACAGGTTCGGAGAGCGGGCGCAGCGCGCAGGCCTCGCCCCCGTCGCCAGCGCTATCAACGCTGTCGACTCCACCACGGCTGCCACAGCACTCACCGCTGCCGTCGCCTCCAACGCCGCTAGCCGCGCTCGGGGCTCTCGGAGGATCACCCTTCAGCCCACTCGGACTCGCTTTCCCTCCCGCAGGTATGCGTTAGCGGGATCTTTATTTAATCGTCCGCCCCGGTCGCCCGCACTTCCAATCCCTTTATTTCATTCCCATTGCCTACTACTAATACTAATTCTGCTAACGGAAGTCCAACTACGAAAATCAGTAATAACATAGCTGACTGAGCATGTTAGTGGCATAATCACGCAATCAAAAGTGTTACAACCCAGGCTTAGTGGATTTATTTGTGTGCAGTGCGCGGCAATACGACGTGTACCATCTGCTATAAGACTTTCGCCTGCCACTCTGCCCTGGAGATACATTACCGCAGCCACACCAAAGAGCGGCCATTCAAATGCACCATCTGCGACCGTGGCTTTTCGACTAAGGTAAGATTACACTAGGTACATAAATTGCATCGCTTTTAAACACATTACAGGCATTCGAACACCGCTAAAATGATTGTCATGTTAATAATCACGTACGTTGGTCCGATTGAGTGTGCTTGGCCCGTAGCCAGTTTATACTTTATTGTTACACAAATAGCAACACATACACTTTTACGATATTTCCACTAATTTTTACTTCTTCAAAATCTCAGTGACATCAAAAACTTACAAATGAAATGAACGAAAAAGATTAAGATATTTAACGCGTCTGTTAGATAAACAATAACCAAATCAATACTTTAGGTATATAGACAGGAATGTAGGTGTTCGATAAATAACACAAGTCATGTGAGTCGAGGATCGAACTTCCAAGTTTGCTGGAGACATCGGCAGACACAATCAAGTTGCTTGAGCGCTGAGAAGTTCATGCGCCGGTTTCATTTCATCCAAGTTTCAGTGCATTAATTTTGCAAGCAGTAATTACAAGTCGCTAGTCGACGCCTCAAGTTCGCATTAGTTTAGCCGTTGTGTTCCTCCGGCGGCGCATCCGAGCTGCCGACTTGCCAAGTAATTGACGACCAACTCCGCTAACTTGTAGGCTCGTTTGTTTCGATTTAATCAAAACACTGCTAGTGCTTGTCTAAGGGCTTCCCAAACTAACTGAGATGTTGACCGACTTACTCTATTACGAATAACTTCCAAATAGAAACACCTATATTTAGATTGTCGACTCCCACCAGTTATATATACCTACTAAGGACCCAATTTTAAATTAGTTTATCCATCATTAAATATTGAGCTACTTGTAGGAACCAATATGGACACCACAAAAATCGAAGATGTGAAATCTGGTCTATGTGGTCAAGAATTATTTCCATATTTAAAATAACAAATAAAGGTTGTTAAAAGTTTTTTTTATAGCGATTTCAATTTTATACTCAGATCGGCCAATATTTCAAGCGAGTAAAGCTGCGCTTGCGACGCAGTCCGTCGCGTCGCGCCACAAAAATGATAAGTCATAAAAACAACGTCACGGAAAACGATCGGAATATTAATTCATGTCGTAAAATATTTATTACTTATAAATCCTTGAGCCTTTACCTACGCTTCTCGTCATAAAAAGATTATTTATGCTTGACAAAGTAAAATTTTTCATATATTTTTTGAATGTGTCCCAGGGATTTTATCAATAAAATTTAGATTATTTATAGCGGCGCCAGAAAATTAAGGTCCAAACTCCTAGTGTGACCAAATTAGTACTAAATTAAAATTCAAAGCGTTATGATTTCTGCTACATAACTGGGAGCTAACTTGCATGAAGTTAAATTGTACCTATATGGAAATTATTCGTTTAACCTTATTTACTTGCAATTTCAATTGAAAATTTAGCTAAATTGTTACGGTGAAAGTTATGTGCCGTAAAGTCAGAGCTTCTTATTTCCTATTGTATTAAATCCGACTAATATATCTAAAACTTTGTACGCTATTACAAGCATTTTATGTCTACATATGTATGTATCACTTCGCAGACTATAAAATAAAAAGAAATCGCCACATATCAGAAACCGACATACGCTACTTATGAATACACACGTACCTACGGTTAAATGTTATTTTTGACTGTTGTTTGTTTTGTCGAGTGCAGCCAATCCAAAAGTTATATCGTCTGAAAATTTCGTTATATATACGTCAACAATAAGAAATCTGATATAACCCAAAAGACGTTTTAATATGATTATTTTACTGGTACCATTTGTTTTACTTTTCTACAAATAAGATATGTACAACTCTAGATCGATACCTGCAATGAACACTACGCCAACTTTTCTTTGAAAATATTCTATTTTTATTTTGTTTTTTTGTTTCTTTTTTTCACAAAATTCGTTTTTTTGTTTTGGTTTTTGTTTCTATTTTTCACAAAATTCGGAGAACATAATATTAGTAAATAAGTAAGGCTGTTCACAAAAATAACAGAAAATTACCAAAAAATAAAGTTGATATAGTATTCATTGGAGGTGTCGAGATGATCGTTGACGTTTTAAGTTTAATAAATATCAGCAATAATACTATTGCAACAAAAATAAATAAATTTGTTGCCCTTGTAAATTTCACCTTTTTTTATTAAAAATAATTTCGCATTTGACCTCCATTTCACCTGATGGAAAGATCTTCTCGCATTTTAACTTAAAAAATATACGATACATGCATAAAGCGAAAGTTTGAACTTTATTCATTTGATAATAACGCACGCACTCACATCTCCGCACCAGGGTAACCATGTATCGCGGGTGCCATAGCCACACAAATTATACCAAAACTCAAGAGAGAATGACACGAGTGAATGTAGACCATACAAATATTTCAAAATTAACTTTATCGAAGTAGAATAAAACATTCAAAATAACTTATTTCGATTAGATTTTGATAAATGACAATTTGCTGTAAATCCCAATTTTCGTATTTTAATACATATTGAAGACGTCTATGCTGAAGTACAGGTAGTAAATTTGAATGATAATTTTTTTATATCAGTTTTTACTGAAATGACACATTCAATTTTGTTTTTAATAAACAATGCAAAATCTAAAAACGTATTTATATTTACATTTATTTTAAAATACTAGCATTCTCACTTATTCCAGAGCATTTTGTTATTATTTAAAATCCTTACCACTAAGTGTGTAAATTTTATGGTCGATTATGATTTTAATACTCGAAATAAGTATGTGGAATAGAGTGTAGGGCACCCGGGTCTATTTTGAACACTATATATTGAAAGCAATGGTATATCGGCAGTACAAAAGCTTTTAGTATGCCATTCAGCTGGCTGTCCAAAATCGCCTGGACACACCTAACGATTACACCCTGTATACAGCAGAAATAATAGCTACCTAACTGTAAATATTTTAAAACTGAAGTAATTACATTTGAAAGTTTCATTATTCAGATACTTCTACTAATACTCCAGAATTTTATTACAAGTTTCTAAGATATGTTTGTATTGACGCTGAAGAATTTATAACTAGTGTTAATACGGATATCTTATTAATAATGGTGGAACGGTATTAATATGGCATATACAGTTATCAGAGCCGAGTTATTCCCGTCTGATCCCATGGTGGATCCTTTTTATTTTATATTATTTTATTGTCCCATCAGACCATATATGCGGGACTCAATAAATAGTATTAATATTTTACTTCCACCTTATGCCCTGGTTCTTACAAGCTTGTTTTTGGTATGTACTATGGTACAGTCAATAAGAAAATGTATTTGAGGGTTGTACTGTGTTTTATTTAGTTTATTAGAAATTAACAACCTTAACTATACTTTGACGGTCAAGGTCTTTAATCCTTTGTTATTTTCTTAAAAAATACCAAAATACAATTTAAGCAAAAAACTAACATGTGGTGTTGATTTTTTAACAATAAAAACTTTAATTCTAAATATTACTTAAGACTGATTTTTTTGTTACTTGTGATTTGCAATATGTGAAAATGAAAGATTTGTCACCAAAAAATTTCATTATCTGTGATCAATCATTTGATCGCAATTGCTCTATAAATAAATATTTGATTTTAAAACTTCTTTATCTCTTGACTGTACTTAACTTACAAATACAATACAGTGGATCAGTTCGGATTTAAAATTGGCGGTGGATCAGTTGTTGGGGATCAGATGGGAATAACTCTCAAAGTCGAAGATACACATATACGACACAATATATCGTACCCTTGGTATTTATAATAAAGCCACATGTGATCTTTCGTCAAAAGTGCTTTTATCACTTGAAAGTAATAAATATAATAAGAACTACGTGAAACAAATTTATATATACATATACTTAGTAAATGTAAAATTTTAGAACTCCTTATTTCCCCATAAAAAAGTAATCGACTAATTTCGTTAGTCGAGTGTCTAACCCTCTCTCCTGAAAAGTTGTCACTTTACAGATACCTCTTTATTACATCAAGATACTAAATATAGTTTTATACATTTAGTCATATAGAAAATAAATTTAAATACAGCTATAAAGAAAAGTATCTCACCAAAAATAATGTCTTTATTCAAAATGTAAACAACATTGACATTCCTAAAAATATCTGCACGTGTATTTATTTGTACTCAGACTCATCATAATTCCATTGTTTATCTGTGTAAATATGTATATAAGTTCAATTTATTTTGGAAGTATGTAATTTGGAGTTGCTGTACGAAAGTCCAGCTTGTTACAAATTTGGTTACCGCAATATACAAAAGGGTAGTTATAACGATATAACTGAACAAACAGCAGCTCTACATATACGTATACATTTTTGCAAGTTTAGTTGGTGTGGTGCGGTGTGGTTTAGTGTTGGTCATACCTAAACTAACGCTGATCTAATTTTGATGAAATTTATATAAAGTTAGATGGAACCTAGGAGAAGGACGTAGGCGTACTTTTTTTTAAAAAAAAAGGGATGAGATAGTAAAAAAAAAAAATTTTCATAGTAAAACTATGAAAATTAAAATAGTACAGTAGACTATTCGAAATACTTATTTTACGCAGACGAAGTCGCGGATACCAGCTAGTTTTAAATATACTTTTTATCGCTTTGTAAAGTTACACATGAAAGGTCTCAATATCGGCAATTTGGTACAAATCGTGAACTCCAACCACAAATGATTCTTCCGTGCACATTCTATTGTAAAACAGATCGAACAACGAAGCAAATAATCTGCAAACCAGTGTTAACATTGTGTCTGCTGGTACAAGTGGTTGCAAGTTTAGAAAACAGTGGCAAGCCTTATCGGCACGCGGGCGCATTTAAAATTACAATAAGTGTCGCTGCGCCGACACCCGCACCGACGAAAGTTCAAGCCAAACAATTTATCGACTATATTGATCTTATATATGGCATACCAAGAAAGGCGTATAACGCTTTTAGTACAACGCGATATGAGTTTTTAGTGTCGATTGAAAATACCCGTATAATATTATTGTTTGCTGAAGAGAATAAATAAGTAACATTAAATACAAAATAAAAAGATTAAAGTACAGTATTGATGATCTCATTGAATGTTTTATTTGAACCAAATACACAATACTACAACCGGATAGCATTCTCTCTCGATCTCTCTCTCGCACGAAGTCTCTCAAATATAAATACAATCAATAGAAACTGTTTGTTACTTTAAATTTTATTTAAATTCAGATCTATTAAAAGTATGTCTGAGTTAAGGAAGAGCGGAACCACCTGGCACAAGTATTTAATTTTTTTTTAATTGGTTCCAACCTCAGTTCGCATATTATGTCTCGACTGTATTTTGAAAACATGTTTTTATTTTTTTTATTTTGAAACTACATTTAGTACCTCTACTTAAACATGCCATAACCAATGTTATTAGGTTGCAATCGTTTCTTAGATCTTCGGTAATTTAACGACGCACGGGTAGGTATGTTTTGAAAATCTATTAATTGTATTAAAAGTTAGTTCCGTCTATTTATATTATTCCTATAACTTGAATTCAGTCGATAATAATAGTTTGCCAGACAACCACACCAATTACCTGGACTCAAAGTAGGGAATTTCTGTACTTTGAGCACAGAGCAGCGGAATTAATTCCGGCGCACTATCCAGGACACCCAAATTAGAACCAATTTAAAGAAAAGTTCATTTCGCAAATTGATCCTATTGCACCTACAATGCAAACAGTAGGACCATCTAGGTCAATCGATAAAATTACTACCTATACTGATAGAAAAAAATATACTAACTTATATATAGACGAACTTTTACGCCATGAAACTTTTTGTAACGATTATATTATCTAATTACGTATGTATATCCGAATAGCATTGCAAATTATAAATGGCATCATAAAAAGGATTGATTTGTGAAGCTTTCAACACAAGTAAACTTTACTTCCAAGTAGCTCAAAGTTCGAATAGTGTAACCATTTTATCAAGTTAATAAATGATTTTTCATTTATGGAATGACATTGTAGTGTATATGACTCTACAATGCCCGATCTAAATAGGTTACAAAAAAAAACAATAGAGTGAATAGAAAATAAAAGCTCTTATTCTCTTAAACTAATATGGTCTCAACGACAAATCGAATCATATTCAGAAAATAAATTCGATCAAAAAAAGAATCAAATCAAAAGTGAAAATCCCTCCTGATCGTGTACTTATTCTCAGCAATAGTTCCAATATGCTAAAGGTCACTTGCGTTCAAACAAGACTGAGATTCCCCCTTCCCAATAAGACAGTGGTGGGGGCAGGAGGGGGAACCTCTCACATCATACTTGTACGAGTCTACAGGCGGGACCGGTCTGCTCTGATACTTAAATTACTTTATTAACAATGTAGAGCTTGCGAAAATTACCAGAGAGGTACGTCCATACATTTTACTGAATACTTGAATAATATTTTATTTTCTGTGTAATAGCCATTGCCTTATATTTAGACATTTACTACATCAAGATATAGCAGATTTGTAAAATGTATTGTGAATTCTCGTTGAATATTTAGAGCTTCTACGTTAAATGGTTTCATATTTTGTGAAACCTTACGTTAAAAAGTTTCATGTTCTTCGAAATCGCCGTTTTTCTGTGTAATCTTTTGAGACATATGTAAATTCTGGGGCACACAAATCGAAGACACTCGTTGAGATGACCAGCAGTGTTTTTATGAAAATACTGATTACGCTATTTACCTACTACTACGTAAACTGATATCTGGCAAAATTTTGTTCGTGGATGCTAAAGACACGTTTAATTATTTACAGATTACAGTTGGCAAAATAAAATTAGATTTATTACGAATGTAACATAGACATGCGCAAAACAGTGCTTCGAAAAGTAATGCAATGTCACATTAAATTCCCATAAAAGTAATATTACAGTGTGATATCATCGTCGACCATATCACACACAGACTAAAAACTGAAAAGTGTTATAGGCAATATCCCATCACTCCATGCTAACTTTGCTCGTTAGTAATATTACCATCACAATGCATCACTATTACTCTCATCTATAGCGGCAGTAGCAGTAAAGCTCCTTCTGAAAGAGTTCATCCAGGGTAATACTGCCACCATACCTATTTCTGTCGCCAAGCAGTAATGTCAGCATTATTGTGTTCCGGTTTTGAAGGGTAAGGTGCTGGTGAAATTACAGGCACATGGGACTTGTCAACTTATGTCTCAGGGTGACGGGCGCAGCGGCAATACCCCTCAGATCTTTGCAATTTAAAGCTCTGAGTGGCACTGCAACCGTTATGGATTGGCGTGTAGCTTACCATCAGGCGCACGACTTGTTCGTCATGTCACTTAATATTATAAAAAAAACAGTTACACAGATTAAAAATGAGATGTCTATTAAGCATCAACCTGTACTTGTTTTTGCTACTTAGTAACATTTTGTGTCATCACACGTCACCTCTTCCAAACATTGCGATCGATACGCATAAACGAAGTAGACAGACATAGCAATATGGCAAACTCACTATTAAAATGATTTCTCTAGCCTTTATATTCTAACTAAAATAAATAATATAGCGCGTCAACCGGTAGTTATCGTGATGAGTAACGCTTAATTTTTTTGTAATGATATCACATTACACTAACGCGTGATATCCCATTGTAATAGTCGCATTACTTACAAATCTCTAATGTAACATTAAATAATTAGAGTAGTACCGTAATTGGACTAGTAAGTCAAAATCAAAGTAAATAAAGGACGAACAGTAAAGGTCGCCCATTTACATGAATTTACTTTATTAAATTACCATAATTACACAAACATCGTGAAATATGACGATGAAATTTTTGCATTACAAAATAAGATAACTAAGGAATTTCCTTACTGGTGCTTTTACTTTTAAGTTACCGCGCAATGTGCTCTAAAAGTTCTAAAACTATCTTCAGTCTTAACATTTTAATAATAAAGTTATTTAAAAGTAAATCATCTAATTTTAGCATTTCGGTATCCATAATATCTGTGGTAATATGAACTATCTACATGTACCGAAAATACTTAGATGATAAATAACTTGCATAAGAAACTTGATACAACGCAAATACTTTACACAATTTATGGACACTTAAAATAAGAGCCGTTAAAAATATAACAAAAGAAATCAACAAATAATATCAAAAGGTGTTTTTCCGTATTCCTTACAACTTACTTATCATTTGAATACAGAAACTAAGCTACGCATTGTAAAAACTTCATCAGTGCATATGAATTAGCTATTTATTAAGTATCTTGTGAGCACAATAGTATCGTCTGGCCTCGTTTTTAATACAAATTAAGTTTTTTACCTCAAATGTATACGTGTTTGTACAAAATAAGTTAATATATTAGATACATATATTATATATAATTTACACTTTATCTTTAATAAAACACCGATCAAAATTATAATTTTATTATGCACTCTAGAATTTTGATAAAGGGTAAAGGTATTTTAAGTGCCGTAATTTCTCGGGTGCGGTTTATATTTTAACTTTATCGTGTTTTGTTACAAAAGCTGGTTAATATTTTGTTTCTTAATACTTAAATCTTAGTGGCTAAACATTCTTCATTCCATAATGTATCAGCTAATGTACCAATAATTAACATTTTTCTTTTTTGTTACACTTACATATGAGCATCCATCTTTAAATATGTATTTAAATATTCATTTAAATATTATCTATATAATCTCCATCGCAATATATGTGGGTAAGTTACTATATTAAGATACTGCATAAATTCTTGTGGTGTAGTGTAGGTATTGTCTCTCTCTAGTTAGAATTCATTGACATTAAATGCAACCTTGCGTACCTTACCTACATTTATAAGCTTTTGCCTGCTAGTTGATTTTCTAACAAACCTTAAATACATTCTGAGAAATGTTACGTAATGAATACTTGTTATGTAATGGTTACTTTGGAAAACTGTACTAAGGCAGTGTTAATGTACGTATGAGTTTTCTGTATAGGTACGTTTGTGTGCAATTATGTATGTTTTTGTGTGTAACCTCGTAAGTTTTGTATGTAACTCCTGTTTGTGTGTAATGTAGCGTGTGTTTGTGGTTCCAGAGCAGTGGCGGCGGCTGCCGCTGTGGAAGACGGCGCGCTCCGCGCTTGCCGCACGCCACTGCTTTGGACCTCTGGAACGCCTTCGTCTATCCGGTACGAAAGAGCGACGCATGAGCGTGAACTCAAATTTTAACTAATTGAAGAGGCCCATACACTAGCAAACATATTAATCGACAATGAAGTTGATTTAAGTTTCGTCGTACAGTCACGTCATTGACTCTCCATTGAATAATAAGTTCATTATTTTTTTAAGAAAGTGTAAGAGAATCAAAACTTATTTTTTTCTTAAAAATTCATTTGTGAAAAAGATATAACTCACAATACGCCGTAAAGAAAATTACAAAAGCAAACGGCCATTTGTTCTCAATGTTCAAATATGGATACAATGACCGAACAGCAAGTTCACTGCATTATAAACTATAAAAAAAACTAAATATTCTTAATTTCAAATTTTGTCACTCAAAAAAAAAACGATATTATAAATAAAAATTAGAATTTTAAATGGGTCGTAAAGTTTTGCATCAGGTATTGATTTTAGATCTTATGAATAAGGCCACACGCAGACGTTATACTTTCAACATTATAATTTGTTAGGCAATATCATAAAAACCGTTAAATTAAAAATATAGATGAAGTTACATAACGTAACTTCTAATTAGCTCCCATCCATCTCTGTGTTCATACGAATTCGATAGTGGTAAAAGTTACAACATAAGTAGATGTAACAAAATGTAAGACTTTTGAATAGTCCTAATATCATGTACCTATAGTGATTAAATTTATTTAGCGAATTAAAATTGCAGTTTTATTTGAACTCATTAATATAATAAATTAGGTACCGTATTAACAATATAGGTACTTCAATACATTTTAAACGTGCAGTACCTGCTATTCGAAAAATATTTAAAAAGTATACAATAAATCTAAGCTAGTAAAAGTGTTATTAATCTTTTTTCTAGTTTTAACTAAGTTTTTTATCAATTTAAATAACAAATACCTGTTGTCATCAGGGCAATATGAAGCAGCACATGCTGACGCATAAGATTCGCGACATGCCGCCGGGCTTTGACAAAAGTCAGTCCGCTTCGATGGAGTCCGACGGCCGAGAACCGAGCCCGGAACGCCGCTCGCCGGAGAAGCTAGATTTAAAGCGGTCCTCTCCTGCACACCCGCCGCCACCGATGACGCACGCGCCACCCATTGATATGCCATCTTTGCCGAAGCGACCGACAGGTACTTCGTGTTTTTTTCCACAACAGTTGCAGCGTCACTCAAAGCTTTATATCACAAAGATCTGAATGGCACTCCCACTGCGCCCGCCACTCTGAGACGTAAGTTGCCAAGTCCCATGTGCCTGTAATTTCACCAACACCCTTACCCTTCAAAACCGAAACACAGTAATGCTAACATTACTGCTTGGCGGCAGAAATAGATAAGGTGCTAGTACTTCCCTAGACGAAGGTTTTCAAAAGGAGCACTGTTTGTAGTGTAACAAAAAGTCTTGTTTTACGTTTAAAAATTGCAGCCTGCTACCATTAGGAACATGCATACAACCTTTAAAATACACAGTACACAAGGTAATAAAACCTTGAACTTTCTACGAGCGTTCCATAATAATATGCTCAGATCCGAATCTTATTAGGTTACTTTCTGTGTTCTTGTCAGATGCCAATACCTACATCAGAATATCTAATACTTGGAAACTCTGAGTGGTCTATGTTATAAATGTTTCATAACGAATCAATGTCACGCAGACCGTGCATTCTTTCATCAGAAATATATTGTAGGCACCTACACTTTACATCAGAGTAACGGTGGAAGCACTATAAGATTTTTTGACGTATCAATAAAAAAAATAAAAGTATAATTTTAAATGAACCCGAAATATCGTCATCAGCCTGTTTATACGTCTCAATACTGGGCACGGGTATCCTTTCAGGCGAGGGTTTGGGCCATAGTCCGCCCGCCGGACCAATGCAGGTTAAGGACTTTACACATTTTGCAAGGGTTGTGAACCTTCTTCGACGAGTGTCTTCTTGTGTCAATGTTTTCCTTCACCGAAAAGCTCATGGAAATTTAAAATTAAATTACGCACATAAATCCCGAGATACCCAGGGGTGCGACCCCGTATTAGAACCCACGGCCTCTGCTTGAGAGACGGTAAGTCAAACGAATTGGCTACCACCGGTTTCTTAATACGTGATTTCTTTAGCCTTAATGTATCATGATGAAAGGTTAATATCTAAAATTCTGCAGAAGCGTTAGTTTAAAGAGGATATTCATTATTTATAAGAAGGAAACATAACTAATAGTTCATTGCTATTGCGTCAATCATCTCGCGTAGGTAATAAAATCATTGCCAACAACAAAAGCTAAATTAGAAACACCGTTTATAGCAGCCAACACTCAAGTATTTAATTCGAATGAATGCTCATTTAAAAAATATCTATGACAAAGGAAATGATGAATTAATAGTCGCCCACGGAACGTTTAAAAACAGTCAATGATATACTATGTTAATCGCTTATATTTCTTTTTAAAAAAAAGCTCTCAAAACTTCGTGGAATAACATCTATTTACCAAGTATTTTGGAAATCGGTACCGGGAAGTGCGCGAAATCGAATTCATCCCCTAGTTTGCCACCTTTAGAGTTGGAATATTTTCTTCAAATTTAAATGGGGCTCTTTCCAATAAAAATAGAATCATCAAAATCGGTTCACCGGAGTTATCGCATAACATACATGCAAAAGAAATACAATCGAATTGAGATCCTACTCCTTTTTTTGAAATCGGTTAATAATTTGCAACTACATAATATCAAAGGAAGCCATGACATGATATCGTTTGTAAGAATAACAAAAACTGCTTTTAATAGTGAATAGATAGAAATACAAAGTCGCATACAAAAGCTAGCGCGTTATTAAACAAAGCGAAGCGTTCAATCATTCAATCAATCATTGTCGTCGGTTATTCGAATTGTTTTATAGATAAATACACTTCGGTAATAAAAATTTAATAGATGTAACCTACGACTTTGCTATTTTTAAACTACCGACCTACTACTACCTTTTTGATTATTTTATGATAAATGAAAAAAAAAATACCTTAAATCAATCAAAATTAACGATAACATTTCAAATTGTCCTAAACCGTATGAATAGATTATTCATCATCGTCATTCATCTATCATTATAATAGATAGAGATATTATCTTAATTAAGAAATTCTTTAATTCCTCCTCCCTTCTAAGTAATTTACCATGAGGTTTTCCGTGAAGGAAGACATCGTGATAAAACCTGTATTTCGAATAAGGTTTACAATCCTCGGAAAAACGTGTGAAGTCCCCAACCCGCATTGGGCAATGGTTGCCGACTGTGGCCAGTAGTGGACATATAAAGGAGCTGATGATGATGTTTCTGATTAATTTGAAATAAACTTTTATTTTTTTAAATTGATATCTGTGTACCATGTAGGTTCTTGAATTTCTCTCAGACAAAAGATTAAGGAGACTGGTATCATGACTGTGGCATCACAGTACATTTACTCAAATATTTTGTATGCCCGTAACAATGCACATAATTTTGTTAAGAAAGAAGATATCCGTAACATTAACTTTAGAACTAAGTCCAAACTCATGGTACCACAATGTCGTTTAACTAATGTAAACGATTATTTTATGGGGAACTGTATACGTTTTTACAATAAGATTCCGGAAAATATATTAAGATTATCATTTCCTAAGTTTAAAACTTACATTAAAAGCATTTTAATGATTCCACACAAATATGATTCAAAATGAAGGTATTCTATAATATTTAAGTTATTTGAAAAGAGAAATCCCTAGAGTTTCTTGCTCGTTCTTCTCAGGGAGGTCAGCAGCGTAGTGAACGAGCAGTAGCTTAAAAAATGACGTTTTCAAGTGTAAACATTTTACGTATGGAATAAATGATTATTTGACTTTGACTTTGAATTTGATACTTAAAAAATGTTATAGCACTTCCACCGTTACTCAGTTGTTCAGAAAGTGTACCTACAATATATTTCTGATGATGAAAGAATACACGGTGGCATTTATTCGTTATGAAATACTTACGAAGACCACTCAGAGATTTACAACGCACACACGCACACGCACATACACACACATTCATAGCCCCGTACGTGGGAAACCCTGTGCCATGGACACACACATAGAACCACAAATCACACCCAAACTCACGAGAGAAATAAATGTAGGCCATTCAAATACTTCTCCCGGCCCGAGAATCGAACCCGGGACCTCTGTAAGGCACACCAGCATCGTAACCGGTCGGTCCCGGAGGAAGTTACAAATTTACTTACGAATAAAATTACAAGTATTAGATATTCTGATATAGGTAGAGGCTGAGGTGGGACCCGTGGCTAGCAATGGGACGTATAAATGGGTTGATAATTATTATTATTAACTAATTTTATGATTAATTTGAACAGTAGATAACTAAGTTACTCTTTTATACGATGCGGCTTCAAATAATATAGGTACCTGTTTTGTTAGGTAAACTATGTTAATATCTTTTTATAGTACCGAGTGGCCCGCAACACCCGCCGCCGCCGCCTACGTCGTCGAAGCACCTCTGCGGCGTTTGCCGTAAAAACTTTTCGTCGTCTTCGGCTCTCCAGATCCACATGCGGACGCATACTGGGGACAAGCCCTTCAGGTGCGCTGTCTGCCAAAAGGCCTTCACTACGAAAGGAAATTTGAAGGTAAGAAAATGAGCCTTCAAATACATTTAGTGATATTCATTTTCTTTCTTTACTTAGTGACATAGGTAGCTGTTCTACGCTCTTAAAAGACGTAGGTACAATTAATTGTTATGTTTCTTATTAGGTGCATATGGGAACACACATGTGGAGCGGTGGCGCTTCGCGGCGCGGTCGCCGCATGTCCTTAGAGTTGCCGCCGCGGCCGATGCACGAGCCGCACGACCTGCTGCGACGCCCTGATCTCTTTTATCCCTATCTACCTGCGCCATTCCTCAACGGCATGCAGCAAAAGGTATCTAATCAAAATACCTAGATTTACTTTAAGTATTACAAATTTTGATAACATCGGAGACCAGCTCTACGGACGCCAAATTTTTTTTTATAATGTCAAGTGACGGGACGAACAAGTCGTGCGCTTAATGGTAGGTACACGCCTGTCCATGACAGTTGCAGTGCCATTCAGAGCTTTAAATCGCAAAGATCTGAGGAGTACTGTCACTGTGCCCGTCACCCTGAGACATAAGTCAACAAGTCACAAATGTCTGTAACTTCACCAGCACCCTTACCCTTCAAAACCAGAATGCAGTAATGCAAACATTACTGCTTGGCGGCAGAAATAAGTAAAAGGGACAGATGAGGAGGTCTCTGATTCGATATCAAAACTTGACCAGGGGTTTATTCTCATTCTCCGTCCGATAACCGTCCGAAACAATTAGGTGCTGTGAAATACGTAATACTCGACCAAAAACACAATGTCAAGTATGAAGCTTCATTCGCGTCACGCATCTTTTAACTTGGTCGAGTATTACTTATTTGACAGCAATTGCTTCGGACGGTTGTCGGACAAAGAATGAGAGTACAGGGCCAGGGGGTCGATTCAGAAACTTACGATAACTCAGTTGTCGACCAATTCGATTTGATATCGTACGATTTCTTTCCATTTTTATTCACAACACCCGAATCGAACGTCAAACTATCGTATTCGAAACCGAACAGAAACGACTCACACCCGTACGATTAGTTGAACTTCTCGACCGGCAAAGGCTACAAACGTTATTCAGAACACAGTATCGAATAAAAGTTACCGAACTTCCTATTGTTTACAAAGCAAGAATGTAATATAGAAATCTCTTATTATTTTAAATAAAGTCTGGATTTTGTTCAATTTTATTATTTCTTTTAATGCAAGACTAATGCTTTCCTATATTTATTTATTTCTTATATTTATATTCCTATATAGTCTTAGAAATGTACTTATATATGAAAGGATTTAAATTTTTCTTGTAATCTATTTCATCGACTAACTCCGTAAACACTGTTGGATCACGATATCGTATCCGAATCCGAATCGAACGTTTATGTCGGAATTATCTGAGCTCGAAAAGCGTTCTTCAATTCGAAAACGATATCCAGCCGAACTATTCGGTTAAAATATCGACGAGTTCTGAATCGGGGTCTAGTACTCTGTGTAATGTATCGGACAGTGGCGGATTTGCAGTGTTGGCCGCCCTAGACCCTAGGCCATGTAGTCAATACCAGCCGCCCCTTTCTCAGCACATACATAAAATGTACGAAAGTGATTTAGGAAGATTATATACGATGCGGTGCAGTGCGGCCCGCCATAATGTGTGTGGGCCTTTAGAACATTTAGGTACTTTGAGTTATTTCTTGTTAACATCAGTGAAGTTTTTGTCATGATTGGCCGCCCGTAAAATCTGGCCACCCTAGGCCCGGGCCTACTTGGGCCTTAGGCCAAATCCGCCACTGGTATCGGAGTTAATGTTGTTGCTCTGGTAGATACTCATAGTACTGGGAATTTGTTAGTTTGGTCCAGGTAGGTGGTTGTCTGGCAGTATAATTATTACCTACTAGGTATGCCAATTTATACATTGAAGATTTTGGATTGACTAACGTTTTACATTTTTTCCTCAGCTGAACGAGATATCGGTGATACAACAAAGCGCGGGCCAAAATGGCGTAGCTGGAAAGTTCCCAGGATTACTTGGATATGGTGCATTCGGAGTCGCCCGACCTGGTGCAGCGTCGCCTTTAGAAAGGCCTCCTTCACTGGAAGGCGGCGACGAGCGGCAGGCGGCTATGAGGGAGCTGGCCGAGAGAGGACGCGAGCTGGCGGAGCGCAGCCGACAGATGCGTGAGGAAGGAGAATACCGATCGCCACCGGCACACGGACCGCATCCGCCACCGCCGGGACAGCCCTCGCCTCCTGCGACGATGCACCAACACCCGCACCCCCTAGCGTCCTTACCACCACCGGCCCGCACCGAGGGCCTCACCGTTTAAAAATTCGAACATCGATCATTGGAACATTCCAGATTTTCCCGTAGTGGTCAAATATCACCAATGCCAGTTTGACTTTTCGAACGAAGCTGTGTCATGTTTATATTGTACAAAGAACCTAGTTGTATAGGTGAATAAGGGACTGATAAATTACGATGTGAGCGCGTCTGTTGTAGAATAGTATGAAGAGCGAAATGTAGAGCTATGTAACAAATTGTTATTCCAAGTGTTATATGCCTAGTATTACTGTAAGTAACTTATATGCATGAGTACGGGGCTGGGGCAATTGGGGACTCGGCCAGAGTCCCACGTTTATGTCATTACTCTGTGATAGTGCACATTCAGAGACTGTGTCTCGTGACACGCATAAATAATATTGGTAAAAGTACCTGTCGAATACTACCCAGCAATGTATGATGCAGTCGAATGTGCTATGACATCAAAAATTAAAATATAAATTATCCCAAAAATTAATTAAATTCTTAAATCTATAATTTTTAATTGTATATAAATTGTATGATAGTATTTTAATGAACAAATAGATTATAAAGTACTATATGAAATACAGAATAATTATTATATTTTACATATACCAGTCGGAGTGCTATTATGCATGATTTTATCTTTTACACATTCCAAGCCACGAAACATGTGAATCCCTTATAATAGATAGGATTTCGAATTATGTAAACGCAAATTCATTAAAAAGGTACATTGAATTAAATGTAATAGGAGTATGTTCCAGAATAAGATTTATAGTAACCAGTATTTGAGCATATTTAACTATTGTACCAGAGGTTAATGACATATTCATATCATGTAAATTAAAAACTATTTGCATTTGAGGTCTACATAGATATAAGAATTTAGAGTCATAGCTATTATATTGCTTTAGAATACTTCTACATATCTTTGTAAAAATGTGAGCGACTGGTGTTACGGCAAATGTAATTTGTTTTAATAAATTAATCAGTGGGGTCCTTTGCTGTTTCAAGCGAACGCGTAAAGAAAGCGAAATAAACATCGTAAATAAATTTAAACTGGTTCTTGTGTTAGCAATACTAACTTTCAGTAACAGTAGAGTTTCTTATGAAAGAGTTCGTCCAGAGCAGTAGTGCCACGTTACTCATTTCTGCCGCCAAGCAGCAATGTCAGCATTACTGTGTTCCGGTTTTGAAGGGTAAGAGTGGTGGTGAAATTACAGGCACATGGGACTTATCAACTTACGTCTCAGGGTAACGGGCGCAGTGGCAGTATCCCTCAGATCTTTGCGAGTGGCACTGCAACTGTTATGGACAGGCGTGTAGTTTACCATCAGTCGCACGACTTGTGCGTCCCATCACCTGATATTATAAAAAATAACAAAAACCTTAAATGTTTACGAGCTTGAAACAGCGACCTAAATTAAAGTGTTTATTAGCACTCTACAGACTGACGTGTCGAAAAGGCAAAATAAACATTTAATTTCCAAAATATGCATTTTCTCGAAACTTCGATTCAATTCTATAGTCGCCGTTATTCGAATTGCTATACTCAAAATGTGTATATTTCGTACTATCCACATAGACGTAACTAGGTAGAGGTCGGATGGGCATGCCACTCGTATCCCACGTGCCCACACTGCCACCCACCCTCCCCCAATAAAAAATACTGGTGCAGCCGAACTAAGAAAATTCTCAATCGAATTGCTGGACCGCGGACAAATCCTAGTTACATCTATGATTCTCACACTAGTTCTCTGTGTATACATGTCCTTGTAAATTATTTATAAAATTAAATCATGCATACACTCTTAGTATTAAAGAAACGCTTGTGGGGCGATAGGTCCTATGAAACAATTTAGTTGTCTAGAATAAATTCTCATAGCACCTACAAGTTATTTTCAAGTTGAAAATAGATTTTAGCTAGTAGTATTAGTCATGAATATGATGTGTCATGTCATGTCAGTATAAATATTCATTGTAAATTATTAAATGTTTATGTAAATGTCCAAAAAGTATTCAAATTATTTAAAAAACGATTATACTAATATTTCTTTTCTTTTTGTTTTCCTTTCCCAGTATCCCTTTTTGGTTTGCACAATGTTTTTTCGTTATAAGTAGTAAACAATATCAAGTATTAGAGAAACTCGTGGTAGAAGCATCTACGAGGTAACAATAAGGCTCAATTTACATTGCGGCGGAACGGAATGGAACGGAAGCGTCAATTTCACCTCGCTGCGCGAGAAGGCGCGCGTGGTGTCCGCACCTTGACTTTGTCGTTACCTAAATCCGCTTCCATTCCGTCCCGCCGCTATATAAATGGAGCCTAAAGGTCAAGCGAAGGAAAGTCATGTATTTATTACGAGTAATTTATTTAATTAGACAATTATGTAGCGAATTACGGTTAAAATTTAGACCAGGTTTTGTAGGTATTCCTTTCATAGTATTAACTATAAATTCTAAGTTTTACAGATTCACAGGTGGTCTCTAAAAGCATTGTAAGAAACCACAATCTACAAAAATAGCTACTTAAAACTAGGTTAGAAATTAATAACGCTGGCTAATTTCTTGACGCGATTAAGGAGCAAATCTCCTTCGCGGATGGTGGCTTGGTAGAGCTGTGAGCGATCGGCATCTGCGCCGCGTCCTGCGCCCGTTACTACGCAGCCTGCGACTGCATCAATGCGGCATTGTAGGCGACCTGCTGCAGTGAAGCTGGAAGAAAATACAACTATTATTTTAAGGAAATAAACTTCCTAAGGCCCCATGTACATCTAAATGTACATGTATGAAGTGATTCAGAGCCAGACAATATTGTTCGCCTAGTGTTTTATAATGAAAATATCGCATTCGAAGTCTTTATGACTTCCCTATGGTATATAGACGTTTTTCATACAAAACTGAGGGCATACTTGCTTCGGCCTGAAGCATGTAATCATATTGAGGACGTTTTGATGTACATTAGGCGTTTAGCGTTTTTCCCATTATAGTTTGCTGGGTCTTAGACAGTTAATAGCATGATAAATTGGCAGTAACCATTTCATTTTGCCGAGACCCCTACCGCCCCCTTGGAACTCTTCAGCGCCAAGAAGTAGTAGGGGATGTAGGGACCACCTTGGGAAACTATGATTTAGAGGGTTGTATAAATTTCAACCAGGGCACCAGAGTTGCTATAATTTACAATATTGCGTTTCGAGTTTTCTAAAAATAAATCCACTATAAACAGGAACCATCATCATCAGCAATGTCACTGCATACATGTGTACAAAAGCTGCACAAAGAAGTGCCTATGCCAGTGTCAATTCGAAACTTACACATCCATACAGAGTTATAAGAGCACTCACTTGGAAATTTCCTCCTCGACAAACTCCCTAGTAACTCCAAAAGTGTCGGCAATGTTGTCAAGACTGAGCGAGCGATATGCGCGTAGTAACTGCACGTAGGCCTTGATACGAGCCTCCCGCACATAGTGTTGATAATGCGGTCTAAACACGGGGTCCACGCAGATTTGAGTCTCCACCTTAAAGAACATTACGTAAGTTATACACAATTGAATCAACTAAATAATACCTTCCTGAACTCTGGTTGTTTAAAATGATGAATTTGTGATTGCTACATAGCAATAAGGCCCCGTTGTACCTTAACTTGTTATTTTTGTACTTAACATATTGTTTTGTGTTGCCACTGTAATTTTTTTTTAATTTTATTATTCATTTATGAATATCCAACTAATAACTTTGCCACTACACACGCTGGTAAGTAATATATACTGTAGCATAACGTGCAAAACTAGGCGGTATTTTTATCATATGGCCCTATGGTGACAATTATTTTTTATATTTCTACGCTTCTGCCGGAGCGAGGAGTCGCTACCTCGGGGAACCGCCTCGCCATGACTCTAAAAAGTATGGGCCTTTTTGTTTTATTTATAAAAACTAAGGTATATAATGTCGGCTTTATTTCATTTATCATTTTTACAAGATCCCACGGCACAAACAAATTGAAAAGATTTGTTGTTTCATTCATACACAAAGTCAAAGTGATTAGTGTTTTGCTTGCACATGCTTAAAAGAAGATTTTTCTGATACTTAAAATTTGGTAAATATAATAGAAATAAACATTTAAATTTTTTTTTATCTTTCTCGCAAATGTGGTGATAAACATTGTATGCCACACTGGCTGAACAGCTATTACCAACTTTCGGGCCATTAAATTATTGAACCTGTCCTTCCATTCAGACATAACATGATAGCTATGGTTTCAGGCTATCTCTTTGGCAAAAGGGTTTTGTAAGATCCAAGTTTTTCTGTTGTTTTACGTTGTATTCCTACACACCAAATGTTATAACATAATTTAAAAATGGAAGACGTACCCAAGCTAGACTTTTGAAGAAGTCAGCATATCGACACTCATGTAGTGACTCCACTAGTTCTCGGAGCTCGGGGAAGCGCGAGCGCAGCGCCTGTACTGCAGCTCCTTGTCGACGGAGCGCTGCCTGCAACGCGTGCCGCTCCAGGGCCAATGCACATGCTAATACGCAATATTGGATTATGACACCTGAAAGAAAATTTCAATTTAACAGCTAACATTAAGTTTTATGCTGAATATAAACACACGCACACACACACTTACTCATACCACATACAATAAAAACACACACGCACCATTTTGCACATAGAGTTCATTTTTTTTTAAGTCCAAATGTGGAAGAAAGGGTCTTTGATCCATCATACAGGGAATCTAGTATGAACATCAGACTCTTCTTTTTTTAATAATGTATTATATACCCTTGCCTTTGTGTGAGTGAATAAAGTTGTTATTATTATTGTTATTTGAAATATTCCAATTTTATGATTGTCACTTCTTTACACTAAGAAGTGACAATCATAAAATTGGAGCAGGCAGTTTACTTATACTAGAAATAGGCGTATTTGTTAATTCAATTACACATTGTTAGTATTTTTATTGTAGATATCTATCAGGTAGATCCACAGACATATATTATCTAGATAGACGCCGCCCACAAGTACAGCAATTTGTATGAAAACCAAGCATGCCACATTTTTTGCACCCACTATGACGTCACAAGAACTGTTTAGTGATGGAAACCTCCTCCCGCTCGCTTTAAATCGATTGATTGAACGGAATACGCGTAAACATTATATAATATTATTATAGCGCGTATTCCATTCAATTAATCGATTTTAAATAAAATATTTTTTGTTCGAGTATTTGTTGATTACAAGTAGTCGTAATATTAATATAGTAGAAATACTAGAATAAGACAGTTAAGTCCTTTATTTTACTTGTTTTCAAAAAATATTGAATAATTAAAAAAATTAAGACTTTAGTCTTTAATCGTCTTCAAATATTAATATTATTATCCTTCTAATAAAATGAGCTTATTATACAACATCTTTTTGTAATAGAAGATCTTATCGATTAACGTAAATAATGAAAACGCACGTCAATACATGAACTTGCAACTGCCTTAATTAATTTTACTAGATGGTTTTCTGTTGGTAATTGATCAAATTGATGAATGGTTGAAAGGGTGAAAGTGTTACTGCTGACAAAATTTGGTAAAATCTTATTAATCGGAAGAGGTTTACTTAATGACGACCTCGTGTGAAATGTTTGTGATGTTTATTATTTTTCGGATTTCTAACTCTGCTTCTCAGCATATTTGAATAGCATCTTAGGTGGGATAAACTAGACCACCTTCGTCTTCGAAAGCAGCGAACTCATACGTGTGACCAACTCCAGGTTTTTGTAAAGACAGCGCACTGTTAATTCTTTGCATTATATATTTTTTTATGTTACTCGTACTACATATCCGGCGATGTATGTAATTATTTGCTCAGTACATTCGAGGCAAAGTGCTGCTAAAATTATCGAAATTACAGATACTACCGATAACCGATAATTTCATCACTGAAAAAAAAAATGAAACGTTACTAAACGTTATAACAAAAGAGTTATAGAATATTTTTATAATATTGCTAAAATCATAATAATTTTCGTCCCCTTGTTTTCAAAATCGATCAGAATCGAGAACAGTCTTGCCTTACGTACACATCACTAAATGTTAAATTTGGCCTAAGAAGTGTACCAGCAGCGCCCGTACCACGAAACTGAATGCATTATACAAAAGTGCGTTCGTTCGATATTCATGGCGTATTAACAAAGGATCACAAATATATCGCACCAAGTAGAAGCCGCAATGTATTACAAATCACTGAGGCATACATTCGGTTGCATATTTGTTTTCTCGAAATTCATACAAAACCAAAATAATTGTTTTTAAAATAAATTATGCATTACCTGATTACAAAATCACATGCCCGTGGAAGGAAACGTCCCGGTTTACCCATTTACCCACAGTTATGGTGCTTTTCAAATTTATATTGGCACAATTATGCATTTTTCGCGTTTTCGACCGGTGTTTATCTATGGTACCTAACGGTTGAGCGCGTTCCGAAGTGTAGCAGCGGCAAGTAAGTGAATTTCACTTACTTTGAGCACGTGAAGTACGTACACTTGCGGCGTCTATCTAGATATACATATGTCTGTGGGTGGATCATATGACTGTTTGCCGGTTTGTAGATCATAAACTAATACTTCTTCATTAGAACTTGATGGTATTTATTTAATCAAAACTAACTTCACATTAACTGTTTACATATTAGCTCTGACATGTCAGCTCTCACTTTAAAATTAAATACCTAAAATAACATCATAATGTTAATGTACCATTTTCTATTAAATGTTTATAATTATCAGATCTAAATTATCAGAGTACATTTACTTAAACTTGAAGTATTATGCATACAGTTACAAACCTTGCAGAAAATACTGTAGTAAAATAATTGTTGGTCACACTTCAAATATATGTAACAAAATCCATACGCAAAACGGGCACTACGAGTTGTGGAAACCAGCCCATTTCACCATACCATATCATCGGCAAAATTTGAAAACTTTAGATATAAGTCTGGTTTTGGACGCAAACGTTTTGGACCCCTTCTTACACTTTTAGCCGATATTGCTATCCAGCAATTAAAGCTTAAAATATAATTTCTAGACCCTGTTTTGGTTATAAAACAAGGTATAATCATATTTATTTATTTTGTGACTACTCAAAAGTTGACATTAATGGAGGTATGAGTTTTTAGCTAAATTTGCTGATTATGTAACAAAATATAATAGGTACAATCACTACGAGGTATTATCAGCTCAATGTGTGTTACTTCACTGCAGCTTAGGTAACTATACTCTGTCTATTCCAATCTCCGTATTACTATAAATGTGAAGGTTTTCATAAATCTTACCAAAATCAACAAGCTCATAAGACTCAAATGTAGAGACACAGTCAATAAAGAGGTCAGCCGCATGACTGTAATCTCTGACAGCCAGGCAGTAGATTGCTTCGTATGCCTTCAGCTTGTTTCTTGAACGCCAATCACCGCCTTTGTCTACGAGTTCATGGGCCTACAACATGTAGTAATAAGAATTACTTACTAAAGTACTAAAACCAAGTAAAGTAATCTGGTAAAGAATGGATAAGCCTGAAATGCCTTATAGTAGAGCTTATGAACGTTCACAAAAATATATAAAGGAAAATATATCCCTTGTAGTACCTAAGATATATTTTTTTTCTTTAAATTTAATTATTTTCACCTTATTTTACGTTTTTGTACATCACAACTACAAGTTATAGTACAAGTACAAGGTATAGTTTGAAGTATAAACAAAAAATGTTTGTAAATCTTGTTAGTGAACATTTTTACTTTTGACATTTTTTTCTGTAAAAATTAATTTTGTCTAAAATTTTTTTATATCAAAGGTGCTTAAACTTTATGAAAAAAACTTGCACTAAAAAATAAAATAAAAGTAGCACAGTTAATGTAGAATATTATGACACCAAAAAACCGAAGGAATTGATTAACTTGCAGTTGTGGTGTACAAAAACATAAAATAAGGTGAAAATAATTCAATTTAAAGAAAAACAATATATCTTAGGTACTACATGGGACATATTTTTCTATACATTTTTTTTTAACATTCTTAAGCTCTACTATAAGGCATTTCAGGCTTATCCATTCTTTACCGGACACTAAATTATACAGATAATTATTATTTTAGTATAAATCAAAATTAAGACAATAACAAATACTATGTCTTATAAATGATGCCCAAACATATCAAATATGCAAACAGAATTGCATATTTGATATATTTGGCAATCACCATTTGCAGATTAGTATGGGTAGCAAAATATCTGCCTTGTTTGACTATTCTACAAATACATTACAGCAAACACCAAACCCGTGTTACCGCGCCCTGGTTGGTTTCTCGACACACATCAAAGGTGTCAAATAGGCAAATACACAAGTACATCATCCTCACTTTGGTCATATTCATTATTCTAACACCTTATTTCACTCCTTCTACAGACAATAATATTTGTCAGTAACTGCATATTTGTCATTATATAAAAATTTTTCTTGTTAACAGCCAACAAACACCCAATACTGAATACTAACAGCCATGTGAAGTGCATTTAAATATTATTATGTATCATTTATTACATAGGTAATGTAAAATCAATATGAAAGTAAAACTAACAAATTCACCTTGTTAATAGCTTTTTCCATTTCTTTAACATTGCACCCATGGAAGTAAGCAATTCTGAACATTGCAAAAATGGCATCTAGTCTTCTGTTGGTTGTAAGAGTCGAATCTTCATACTTGGATGTGGCCAGTGCCGTGGCAGCCTCTTTATCTCCGATGGAACAAAGGTATTCCAACCTATGAAAAAAATTTCAAAAGTAACAATGTTCACCATTGACCTACCAACAAATGGACATCGGGTCTAATACAAAAAACCACGAAAAAAATGTCCGAGGTTAACCTATACAAACGTAGTGACATGTAACAAAATATAAAAAACTAAAACATTTAATTTAAATTGTAATGTCATTGCAGTACTGCCTAAATTTGCTTACAACAATTTAAGGGCCCAAAAACAACATATTCAGCTTCTACTGGAAACTTAACAAAATGCACCATATTTAGCTTTAACTGAAAATTATTTGAACACAAGAGTAATGGAACAGCCTTTCTAATAAACATTAATTAATTTTTTTATATATATTATTATGTCGAATTTTATACAAAATCACTTAAAAGGTATAATAAAGAGTTGGGCAGATACATACATGCAATTATTACTACAAATGTAAAAATAAGTGTGTACTATAAGAAATGTACCGATATTCTAACTAAACGTAAACTCAAATATCCGATTACGGATAAAAAACGTATTTATAAAAAACGATTTTATTATAAATCGGAATTATCCGATTTATAATAAAACCGTTACGCTTTCGAGTAATTTTGATACTTTTTACATAGACTAAATTAGCTTTTGTTTTGTAATCTTCGTAAAAATACATTATGAAAATTCGAGCTAATGCTATTTCGGGCAAATGTATTTTCTGACTTCTGATAGGTAATCCCATGCCATAAAATGAGTACAACAATATTTTGTTAGTTATTGCTAACGTTTATTAAAAAAATAATTTTAAAAATAGGATTAAAATCAAAGCAACTCTACAGTTTCTTTGTTCTAAATATTTCAATTCCTGGTGGTTCGAACAATTGAAAATGACCAAGAAGTTTATATAAGCTTCTTGAAACTGATGTAATGGGTCTCTTTCCATCTTTTGCGCATACAATGAGTAGAACAAGGACAGTTAGCTATTTCATTATTTCGTGTGCTTTTGTAATTTACATTTATGATTCAGTTATATATAAATTAAATACTAGAAAAAAGTACAAAATAACACTTTTAAATGACAACTATGATAACACTATACATTTGTTTAGTGAAAATATGTTACAAAATCTTGTTTTCACACTTTACTGTAGTAATTTTTACAAATTATTATTTGTACTGCTTATATTGGTACTGCATGATTGACAACCACACTGTCACTCGAACAAACAAAGACTATTGCGCGATTGACGCCCTGTATGCGATTTTAACGCCCTACAGGTGCGGACACTTTTTAGCGCGAACCGGACGTCCATTTATTGGTAGGTCAATGATGTTCACTAACCAGATTTACAAACATTTTATGTTTATACTTCAAAGTGCCAGACAAATAAATCAATTGCCTAATTTCAAACTTTTTTAAAACAAACAAAAGAAATTCCGTTTAGGGTAACCAGGGTTGACTAAATACTTAAGAGTACCACAAAATTACCTACTTAATTTACTTTTATAACGCTTAATTAATAGTAAAGTAAACATTTGTTTTTGGTACATTATGACAAATTGTCTATTTCTTTTTAAAACCTGGTTGAGAGATTAGTTAGAAATAGTATGGGCGCAACATAAAAATTGTAAATGTCATAGAACTCATCCTATGTAAAATGGACTTTAGTAACTTCTTGAATTCACAGAGTAATAGTTTACTTATAAATGAAATAAATTTCTTTAAATCGGTTCACACCTGAACATCCAAGATAACCCAACAATTAATATTGTTATTCTATTAAGTACTGCTAATAATTATAACAAACACTAGTTTGTCAATATATTCTACAAGAAAGTTCACTTCAATTGCATAGCTGGAAGTTAACATACAAAGTTATGTTACCTGTCATGCCACACTGGAGTTTCAGAATCATCCTCCTCGAACTTGGATAGTTTTTCTTGATTCTCTTTTGCCATATCATCATACAATTTCTGATCAAATTGCCATCCCAAATCTGTACACACTTCTTTGTAATATGGAGCCATGTTCCCAGCCTTTATACCTTGTAGTAGTTGCTCTTTCAACTGAGTATTGCCTTTCAATTCAGGCAAGGAAAGTTTGAATTTGATGCCAGCCAGCGCCATGTATTCTGGAGTTTTACCTTCCGCGGATAGCTCCATTATCTGTTTTTGTATATTTAACAAACAGACAAACTATTGAGATTTATAACACTACAAAAGAAAGATGCCTCTGAGTGCTGAAATAATGTATGTTTAAATCTTTTAAAATACACAGCATGCACGTTATATGATTAAAGAATATAAATTTAAACTCTTCTAACTCTCTAATCACAAAAAACCAATTCACAAATTATTAATTTTTACCTCTTCTCGAGTGTTGTTTTGGCGATAAGGTATGGAGATGAATACAATATAGATTTATTTTATTAAAAATGATGTGTCAGCAGCCCCAACAAAATACTTCTCACAAATACCATAGCGATAGCGGGTTGAAAAATTTACTTGTCATCTTTAGTGCTGCCATTTTCAAAGTAAAGTATAAGTCATCAATACAACCGACGAGTCAAATCGATCGATTCTATCGATGAAGCTTTAACATTGGAAAGACGAAGAAGAAATGAAAGTTTTGTCTCGTCTCAGTGTCAGTTTCAGAAATAATTTATTATTATTTCCTTTATTAGTGTTAAGTCACTGTTCAGCAGGAGACGTGAAACCTCCTACAAAATCTCAACGTTAGCAAAGATCTGGGAAAATCTATTTTCCAATCGGGTCTACTGTCACCTACACTAAAAATTGTGCCCCCTTATTAAGGGGCACATTCTTCTTGCATTGCCGTCCACCTAGTCGTCCACCGCGTAATGCGCAGGCCACACCGCGAACGAACTATAAATTATTTTTTCATAGTTCGGTTCACTTTAAACTAACAAAACGATCCCGCTAGCTATCACGCACATACTCACTACTTACTACGTATTTTAACCGACTTTAAAAAAAGATGTTTTCAATTCGACTATATGCTATTTTTTTGTATGTATGTTACGCGATAATTCCACCATTTGTGAACCGATTTTGATGATTCTTTTTTGTTGGAAAGAGAGTACCTCATGCCGGGTTCACGAGTCTTTCACTCGCGTTTTTCGCTTGCTTGCTGCGTATTGCGTAGAAATCTGACTTCCGCACAAAGACGTTCACGAGTTTTCCGCTTTGCGTTGCGGAGAGACTTGCACGCATGCGCCTTGCCTTTGTTTGGGTTGTCGACACTCTGGAACCAGCTACTTCTCTGTGATTGGCCAGTGGTGCTATCATCTGTAAACGTACCTTGTTGCTTACGTGGAAATATCAAGCTTGCTAGATATCAAACTTACGCCACACAAAGAAATCCAACGCAAAGCAAGCGACCGGCGCAAGCGTTAAACTCGAGAACAGTCCTATCTGCGCGTACGCGACAGATCTTTACGTATGTGCGAAGCGAATCACGCAAACAAGCGAAGAACGCAAGTGATAGACTCGTGAACCAGAAGCGGCACCGGAACGGCATCAGAAGTAGTCCCATTTAAATTTGAAGAAAATATTCGACCTCAAAGGATGGTAAACTAGGGGATGAATGACTTTTGAGGTCGGATTTTTAGTACTCTGTACCGAGGTTAGGTTATCCTAGCTTAGCTTTGCATGCAACTAGACTTGTATAGTTCATGAACTACGAACTATTGGGAATATATTCCCGACACTGACCAACGTGAACTAGTTCGTCTTGTACGGTTTTAATAGTTCATCGTTCTTTTTAGTTCAGTACGAACTAGGAACTATCTCCGTTGATAGTTAACCTGGCTTTTATTCAGTAGGAACTGTACGAGCGGGACAAATAGCGATCTTTCGCTGCTTTTAGTACAAGTTCGAGTGGGATGTACGATTGAACATTGCCAGCTCGTTCTAAGATTTCTCTAATCGTATCAACATTCTGTATATATGTAAGCTTGCAAAAAAGTAAGTGCTCATATATACATATATATATATATATATATATAGGTGTGGTAGGTATCTGCATGTATAATATCAACCTACGTGTACGAGTATATGAAATAGTTGTATGTATGTACCTAAGTATTGTAATATAATATTTTAAATACACCGTCGTAACTACAATTCTTGTTTTGTAAAAAAAAAAGGATATTTAGTTAGAAAGACAGTCTTTAACCATATAAAATATGAACGAAAATCAAATAGTACCGATTCCACAGAAATTGTATTTTTAATCGACTTAAAAAAAAGGAGGAGGTTCTCAATGCGACTGTATGTTTTTTGTATGTATGTTACGCGGTAACTCCGGTATTTGTGAACCAATTTTCATGATTCTTTTTTGAGGGTACCTCCATAGTGGACCCATTTAATATTGAAGAAAATCATCGACCTCGAAGGGTGGCTGTTCACGCATGAAGATTCATTTTTATTGATAGCGCTAAAATTTTAGTATAATGAGCAATTATTTTAATGGTTGATTTTGCTATTCTTTAATTCAAGGCGTTTTTCTCTCTCAATATACTTTGAGTAGTGAGAACCGATTTTTATTATCTCCTGTGTCAAGTTCCGTATAGTGGCGAACCAGGGGATTAATCCGGGTTTGTGCACTTTCCGGTAACCGAATTCAGTAAAACTTGGTAATTATATGTAATTCCATGTACTTCTGAGGTCGGTTTTTTTTAGTACTATGTACTGAGATTATTAAATACTTTTAATACAGTATACTATTGACCTCATAATACGAGAAGTCCGTAGAAGTAGTTCATGTGAATAAAATTACTAGTTTGTAGCGTTTGTAGTGTAGTTCAGTGTAACTAACTAAGGAATTAGACGAACTAGAAGACCGACCTAGTTCAGTTGACCGATGGAACTAATTAGGATCGCTCCCTCTAAGGACCTCTACATGCAACTACGTGAGCTAAGCTAGCTTATCTGGCATAGTTGGTCGCATGCAAATAAGTAAACTAAACTAAGTAGTTAGCTTCGTTCGCGATGCGGCTTGCGCTTAATACAGGATTATGAATGTAGTTCGCAGTATGTACGGTTAATTGGGCGATTTATACATTATGTTAATAAGAGCGGGGCCCTAACAAGGGATCACGGCACTTTACGCCCTTGAAATCCGGTGGCAAACAATAAGTGTTTAAATCTTCTGTCAATTTTTATTATTTTTTAAACTTAGTTAAAATTAGGGTAAGGGACAGCTCGCTGTGCGAATGCGGGCTGGACGAAGGAACTCCGGATCATATTTTCTTCAATTGTAACAAGTACCCAGTCTCCTTGTACGATGTCCTTCCCTCAACCATTCTCAAACCCACAAATTTCAATACGATTTTAAGACTTGTGGATACGTCTTGCATCAATGTCCTTTGTGATTATATGACCAGCAATAACATTTTATAATTTGTTTGTCCTGCCTAACACACTTACCTACTAACATTTGTCTACATATATTGTTCTCCGTCCCTTTCAGGTAATTCAACAGCTCTGCAACTTTAAATAAAGGTTTTTTTATATCACATTGTGCTCTCACAATACTCATTGAATAGCAGTCTACAGAAGCCCTTAAAATTACTAAACGGAAAATTCGACACTGGCGAAATCTCAAGGGTAGCGCAATGGCTTAATGAAGCAAAAAGAAGAACATTATTTTTTAAGGTTTGGGATTCCCGTGAATAATTCTGCCAAATTTTGTTATTTTTTTATTGAACGAAAACTTATTTGACGTCAATTGTCATTCATCGTGCATGTCAATTTGACAATTTTATTATTTCTTGTGATGCTGGTGCGATAATCATTTTCATTGATACCTATGTACTACAAATCCTTAAATAATTTATGAAATGCTTTGTTAGCATTCAGTTACAAGTGTTGTACTCGTAGGTGCATCAACGATGAATAAAATGGACCTGAATCAACTCGTGAGTCGTAATCAAACTATTAAAATAGTTCCTTCCATTGAAGAATACTTGCGTTCCACTGGCCTAAATGTGGACCTGGACGACAACGTGAAACTGTGGCTGAGTCAATTGAAAATAACATGGAAAACTTGGAAGAGAAGTGCAGCCATCGAAAGCCACATTGAAATGTTTTTCTACTCTGTACCAGATCCACACAGGGTAGCTCTTGTTTTTGTCATCAAATGTGAAGAGTTCAAAGATTGCAAGCCAAAAACGTTACCGTATTTTATCATAGAAACTTTGCAAAAGTGGTCTCAGACAAATGGGGTGTCTCCTGAAGATTCATTAAAATTACCTGGATATCATGTAGCAACACAACAACGTAACCAGCACTTTCTCAACTTGATTGTAAAGACCTACAAAATCTACACTATCAAACAGACAGTACTACCCATGGTCAAAGACTTGATAAAGGAGGATAACTGCAGACAGGCATCACAAATTGTGATAGCCATGGAATTATATGATGATATACCAGTTGAAGATTTGATATTTCCATTGATCTTACAGGACAAAGCAAATATGATAGATGAATATTTAACAGAGTGCCCTGACCAGGTTAAGCCATTGTTGTCATTTTTGGATGGCTTACTTGACAAAAACTTTAGTATCCGTGAATATGTGCAAAAGTACATAGAGGAGAAAAAAATTGGTCATATCAGGTATGAAAAATTACATTACAAGCCTCTTGGAAAGCTTGTGGCCCGCTTATGCAATAAATTTAACATTCCTATTGAGACCTGCAGAAATCTCAGCAAAAATCGAACTACTGGAGGACTCAGATATTTGATACATCAAAAATACCAAGAGAATAATGTGAGCTTGTCTGTATGGGATGACTTAGTTAAAGATTCATTGAGGCAGAGTGCCGACTCGGCAAAGGAATTCATTGATATGTTAACAGATTACGATAAAAAGGAAGCTATGAAATGGGCAGAGTACTTACACATACCAAAAAGTGATTTACCTCTTGCTCTAAAAGATTTATCTTTAAATGAAGAAACTAATACAGAAGAAGATTGGGATACTCATTTGAATTCTATTGCACCACAAGAATATTACAAATTTGAACTGAGAAATGATCAAATAACAATTATTGACAATGCAGAAAAATTTTATGATTTGATCAATACTAATTTAGCTGAGTGTAGTGTTGTAAGCATTGACTGTGAATGGAAGCCCTCATTTGGAGCCTCACAATCTCAAGTGGCTTTAATTCAGATAGCAACTTTAAATGATGTTTATCTCATAGACACATTGATACTTAACAAACAGGAATATTCAAGTTTCTGGTATACATTCCATAAATCTCTATTAGACAATGCTGAAATCATCAAAATAGGTTTTGGTCTTGAGCAAGACTTGAGGGAAGTGAAAGCTTCAGTTGTCGGTTTGAGCAACATAAAAGTTAAGGGTGAAGGACTTTTAGATTTAAGTTTGCTTTGGAAAAGCTTGTTGGAGAGTGGTCTAACATTACCAAGTAACAGTGACAATGGTGGCAGCAGCCTCAGTTCTCTTGTGCAAGCATGTTTTGGTTTACCACTTGAAAAGTCAGAACAGTGTTCCAACTGGGAACTCAGGCCACTAAGGAACACACAAATACAGTATGCTGCTTTGGATGCATATGTTTTGATGCAGATTTATTGCTTCTTGCAAAATTTATGCCAAGAACAAGAGATAAACTTTGAGGAAATTTGTAATGATGTAATGCTAGAGGGAAAGAAAAAATGTTTGAAGAAAACAAAAACAGAAAAACAAGCAATGGATAAACATCAAGTTAAGTCAGCACAAGAATTAAAACTTTTAGTTGAACCTATACTTTCAAACTTATTGACATATCTAAGATGTTGTGGAGTTGATACAACAGTGATGCCAACAACAATGTTGTGGTATGATGTTATAAATTTGGCTATTTCAGAAGACAGACTGATTATATTATCTAAATTAAAATATACTCCAACTAACAATTTTCCTCAGAGTTCTATATTAGACGTAGGGAAAGGCACTGTAAAAGATCAAGTGCAAAAAATATTTACCAATTTTAATGTAAGCATTAGAGAGAGTGACCTTTTATCTCGATGTTTGAATTGCAATAGCCAGGAGTTACGAAAACTGTCACCTTCTGAAGTTTCTAGCATTTGTAGTAACTACCAGTATAGTGTAAGCTGTAATATAAATTACCAAAGACAACTCAGTGATGATGAAGATGCCGAGTATGGCAATTTTCTGAGTGATTCAGATTGTGATGATGAAATAGTACATCCAGTCCAAAACATGTATCACAATAATGTACCAAGTAAAGACTGTGTGACTAATAAAGGAGTCCCAGTAGACATAACCAATGTTGACAAATTAGCAAAAACACAAAATCCAGGTGTTCTTTGTGACAGTTGTGGAAAACTGTTTTGGGAAGATGATGATTTATTAAAGCCTGTTGTTGGTATAATTTATGATATGACTAAACTAGCCGTTAAGCTCCATTGAAATGCTACAAAAGAAATAATAAAACTAAATTACCTGTAATATAATCAAACAGCAATAAAAAGTATTTGTTAGATTTTATTGTGATTTATTTGATAATAATCAACTATTCATGAAATAGTAGATATTACTTATACAAAACTTACATAAGAGGCATATTTTATATTTTAGAACAAATTTTATAGCTGGTATGTACAAAACAATAATAAGTAGAAACAATGTGCAAGGTGATTATAATAATTAAGGCACATGGTTTACTTCATTTGAATGTGTAACAATATCTTTGCAATATGAAATATTTAGATATTAAGCAATTCTGTTTTTATTTTGCACAAACAGCATTGTTCATAAAAGTACTGCGTACGAAATGAATACTAAAAAATTACACTGAATTTGCGTTTCTCTTTAAATTCTTCTACTTCCTTTGTAGTTAAATGTTCATTACCTTTGAGATTCAATTCTTCTAGTTGTAGTTTAGGAAATCCCTTCAAAGTTGTTAGTTTATTGTTTTCTAGGTTTAATTTCTGGAAACAAAATTGATTGAAAATTCATCACATACTTATACACAGGAACACAAATATGGTACATAATGAAATATGAAAGTTCCTATTATCAATTGACTTACCTTACAATGTGGAAGCAATATCAATGATGGTAAGCCACAAGAAATTAAATTCTGCTTAGATAAATCTACTGTTTCACAGTAACTATAATACTGTAAGTGGGGCAAACTCGTAATTTTGTGTTCAAAATTTATTTTTAATTCGAGACCATTTTTCAGACAATCATCATACAGTTGTTGCTCTACACTCCACTTGGTAATCAAATAATCATAATACCCTGTGCGAAGTTTATCTATTGTTTTCAGAGTTTGTAAATTTTCTACAATTTCTTTGTGGTATTTTTTACCATCAATACAGTATAAGAATATTGTAGTTGTGAGCAGGGTCCCTGTAACAAAATAAGTAACATGCATTTCCAAAATATATGCCCGATTTAATTACTTTTGATTTTTTTATGTTACTAAGTGACAGGATGAACAAGTCTTGGGTCTGGTGGTAAGCGACACGCGTGTCCATAACAGTTGCAGTGCCACTCAGAGCTTTAAATCACAAAGATCTGAGGGGCACTGCCACTACGCCCGTCACCCTAAGATATAAATTGACAAGTCCCATGTGCCTGTAATTTCACCACCACCCTTAAAACCGTCGTTGAAAAAACCAAATACAAAAGATACGACGCAAGCACAGAAAAATTCCTAAGATCCGCCGGTTCGTTCCCTGGTTTAGTTGGTATAGCGTCTGCCACGGTAAGCTATAGAAGACGTCAGTTCGAATCCGGCCGGATCGAAGGAATTTTTTCTCAGTGTTCGATCTTTGTATTAATAATTATACTAAATTTAATACTTTATTAAGTAGCAGAGTGTCCTAAATCTTGCTTTAGTAAAATAAAGAGTAGTATAACTTATCAGCAACTCGACAATGTCTGCCTTATGATTGTTGTAACTTCTATTTTAATTAATAAAGGTGTATAATTATGAATGAATAAAAGAATATTTTGTTTGACACCTGTATCAAAAGAAATTAGTGTAGGGACTGTGCATGGCAAAACTGTAACACTTACAACCTTACCAGTCTGACCATTTGCGATGATTGACGGATTGGTGGTAGCGGGTTACATACAGGGTAATTTTTATTAATGAAAGTTTAGACAAAATCCACATGCATGGTTTCTTTCATCAACTATATTTTCCTTCACTATAAAGCAAGTGATACTGCCGAAATAGTCATCAAAATCTAACTATTAACAATATCAAATTTCATAGCTCGAATGGTGAGTAACTGCTGTCACTTACATTTATTGTCAGGCTCCAAAGCAAGCAACTGGCGACACGAGTCAAGCTGATTATTCAACTCGTCAATAACAGGCCCTGAATATTTCAAACTGAAGTCGACATGCAACTTCCCAACATATATTAGAGGCTTTTCTTCTACAAATTCTATTGTGTCAATTCCTGTTACACTTTCAAAAAATGCCTAAAAATATAAAGACATAGTCAGTCAGTCGAGATTAAGTTGACAAGGTAAAATTAACTTCAGAATTGTGCATATACGGAGTATATGTATATAAAAAAAACTGAACAAGACAGAAAAAGTTAGAAGACATAATGCACCTCAATTTGCATGCCACTGGTAATTTCTTCATTATGTTCATATATCCACAAAACGTCACTGTGACTTCCTGTACAAGGCACCCAATTACCATTTATCACAACATTATTTACAGATAGCCTTGTTAACAATGTGATATAGGTTTGCACAACGGGATCACTGAATGCAAATGTTGTTTTAGAAGGAGTCACAACACATGCCATTAATTTGCAAGTTCTCTTTACAGCCCCTGAAAATTCATAGTAATGTACACAAATTTGTATGTATGACAAACCATAGTGTATGTAAAAAAATTCTCACATGAAACGAAATACTGTACTAACTCAAAATTACGGAATTACGAAAAGACAATTTAAAGAAAAAAAAAAAATTAATGAACCCTGTTGCGAATAATGTGATTATTTTTATTTATAAATAATACTTAATTATCCATTTATAAACGAGAATATATATATTGCTTTCCTAGTTTAGGCTCCTGTCTCTCGTCGTGGTGAATGTGCACCGACCCCACGGCACCGACTCAACCGGCGGCAGGTAAACCCGGGGGTGTTTTAGTGGGGTAGGCCCTCCAGTCTGGAGGGAGAGTCCCCACATAACCCCTGAGTCTCCCTGGGCTCAGGGGTATCTATAAAGATTTCCCCATCGTAAAAAAAAAGGATCCTGTCTCTCACAACAATTAATATGTAAGCTCTGTTCCATTACTTTTAATAATTTATTGTGGGAGAACAACAAACAAGTGCATATATTATTCAGTATTTTTTTATTTTCAAATCGTGTTTTCTCTATTCCACAACTTTGAGTTACGGTATTTAGTTTCGTGAGCGATATCTTAAATAAAATTAGAACCATATACTTACCTAACAACCATCTTTGGTAAAACCAAGCACTAGTGTCATCTGGATCAGTGAATGCTGCACTTTGCACCATTTTCAACTCCTGCTTGTGACGAATTTCTTCCATGGGGCTATCGGTTATAAGCTGTCCTCCTGTAAAATAACGGTGATTTCTTTACAGTTAATCAATACATCGAATTGCACTACCTATAACAACTAAGTCTAAAAATGTATATTATTAATATTAGGGGTTAAAGTATGAAATTGCCGTTTTATTGCAATAGGTTCTTTGAATTTTCATAGAATCTTCATGGTTTGAGGTTTTCGAATGAAACTTTTTTCAAAAGGTTTCTGTGATTTTTTTTTTTAAATTTGAAACATTTGAATATCGACTTTCAATTGTTTTTGTTATTCAATTTAGACAAGAAAGATGGATACTGCGAAAATTCGAGTGATTTTTGAATACGAGTTCCGACGCGGAACTAACGCGGCAGAAACAGCCCGCAATATCAATGCTGCGTTTGGAGAGGGGTCTACTAATGAACGCACCGTGCGATTTTGGTTTAAACGCTTTCGTGATGGAAATTTCGACTTAAAGAACGAGTCACGAGGAAGACCCAGGTGAATAACGATGAATTAAGAGAGACAGTGGAAGCCGATCCTAGTCAAACTACCCAGGAATTAGCGGCATGGTTTAACGTTACCTTACCCACAATATTGACTCACTTGCGTCAAATCAATAAAATAAAAAAATACGAAAAATGGGTCCCTCATGATTTGACTGATCTGCAGAAAGAAACGCGTGTTGAAACTTGTGTTGCCTTGTTGAACCGGTACAGAAATGAAGGAATATTGGATCGAATTGTAACATGTGATGAAAAGTGGATTCTTTATGATAACCGGAAAAGAAAAATGCAATGGCTGACCCCAGGTCAAATGCCACAACAGTGTCCTAAAGCAAAACTTACCAATAAAAAGGTAATGGTAACTGTTTGGTGGGCTCAGCATGGTGTTATTCACTATAGTTTTCTCCGATCTGGTCAAGCAATAACGGCAGATGTCTATTGTGCCGAACTCCGAACCATGTTGACAAAACTAGCAGTAAAACAGCCCCGACTCATGATTCGATCTTCACCATTATTGCTCCACGACAACGCGAGACCTCACACAGCACGAGAAACCATTTTGACCCTTCAGGAACTGCAGTTAGAAACCATTCGTCATCCTCCGTATTCACCAGACCTTGCTCCAACGGACTACCATTTTTTTCGTGATTTGGACAATTATCTACGTGACAAGAAGTTTTCTTCCCAGGAGGCAGTACAAAATGCTTTCACACAGTTTGTGCAGTCTAGATCGTCGGAGTTCTATCGCAAAGGCATTAATAACCTTCCCATTAGATGGCAGCAATGTATAGATAATAATGGCAACTATTTTGATTAAATAAATTTGTTAAAAATTTAAAAAATAAACAATTTAGATTTTCAGTACAAATCGGCAATTTCATACTTTAACCCCTATTATTACTATACATATTTGCTTATTAGAAAGAAAGAAAGAAACCTTTATTCGGCTTTTCACGAATAATATTAGAACATAATAACTAACACAAGATCTGTTAAAAACAAAGAAATATAATGTATTAATAATTTTAACAAACTAATGGAGTAATTTCACAAAAATTAATTGAATATCAATTCAATAAAAAATTTAAAAGAAAAAGAATGCTAAAATAACTAATAGATTAAAAACGAAAGTACACAATATTAGCCAAAACGGTTAGCCAGCTCAGCTTTAAGCTGGGCAGCATCTCCGCACTGGTTTTCAGCTGGAGCCTAAGAGGAGGTAGATGGTTTCAAACACTCAACATACAAAGTTAAGTATTTAAAACCAAGAGTAAATTAAAATAAAATTACAAGACAAGTTATAAGATGACAAAACTAATTAAAAACGAGAATATAATTATAATTAAAAATTATTATATAATATATTATAATTAATATATAATATATATATTTATAAATCTGCATTGTGCTTTTAATAAAGCTATATATTATATTATGCAAAATAAAAAAGTATTATCAAGTAATGTTCACATTACAATACATGGACTACAAAATAACATTTTTCAACATTAATTTGCTTATTCATCTAATTAGTACAACATGTTCACACAGTAAATATGTGAACATGTTTGGTTTCAACATAAGGGTGTTTTACACCTAAACAATTAGTGTTTCTAGAGCAACTAATATTTACCTTTTAAATCAGGATACATCGCTACCAATATTTTGCTTCTGTAATGCCAAGCTGAATAGTTTGAAAAGTTTTCATGTAGCTTCTCTGTTGTAAACTCAAATTCATCCTTGAGTGATGGTTTGCTTTGACTGACCACAAATCTTCTGTAGTCCCATGTGAGGACTGAAATATAACCAATTCTTGTGAATCAGGTAGACATAAAGACTCCTTAAGGCTTGAACAGTCGCGCATGACTTTTGACGATTTGACCTCTAAGCAGTCGACCACTCGCTTGTACTTACACAAAGTCAAATAAAGATAAGTTGTAAATTAGAACACAGAAGAGTCATAAATGTTTTTTTGCAATCTATACCTACGTTGTTGTTCCCTCAGAGACTTTCGAGAATAAACCATCGTAAAAATAACCATTATATAATATTTTAGGGTCAAAATCGTAATAGCATAAATAGTGAAAGTATTAGGTAAATCGTGCAATGATTTGATCGTTCGTTGATAGGATCAATTAACAACTAATACTTTTATTCGCTATATTTTAAATGCATTTAACAAACTTCAATATTTACTAATTAATTATGCGTCATTGAAAGTACAACTTTTATGTATTATTTATTAAATTTGTTTTATACAATACGTAAATAAACACTTAGATTAATAATAAAAAATAAATAAAAGTGATATCGAGTTCTTAGGCTTTCGCGATGTTACACATAGGAAATGAAACTATTTTTCCGGATTTAAATCGCGTATATTTGTTTTTTCAAACAAACCGATATTTTGAGCCCTTTACATTTTTACCATGTTGATAGTCAAGCCATGGGACCTGTTCAGGGCCCGAAACGTCGGTTTGTTTGAAAAAACAAATATACGCGATTTAAATCCGGGAAAATAGTTTCATTTCCTAATAAAAGTGATTACAACCAATACGACTAATTTGTTTTTAACTGATGGAAATTCGAACAATAAGAAGTACACAGTACAGTATAACGATACCTACTTTGCGCGAGGTTAAGTAAATATACATTAAAATAGGTGCTTTATTAACTAACTTGTTAACATTAAAAAGCGTCAAAATCTAAATAGCGAGAACAAGTTAGTTTAATTGAAGTCGGAGTACTATTTTCTGGTTGAAGCATGGGTTCGTCAAGAAAATATTTGCGGTGGTGATTTTATTTCTTTGTTTTCCATTTTCTTTAAACCAAAACTGCTGCAAGCGGCGGTGGGCGGAAAATGCAATGCAGTATAGTTTCATTTCTACTAAATAAAGTGGGTATGTCTTTGTGTCCCACTGTGCAGCGCGGCGCAGCCTGACGTCACCAGCTTGTGCCACCACGGGCACTACAAAGTGTGTCTAGGCTTCTCAAATATAAGGTATATTTCTTTGAAAGGCAAACATTGGCTGAGCGACATCGGACTGCTTAGAGTGAACTTTGGAAATAGCAATACAATATAGAACTTCAAATGTGTTAAATAAAATGAATATTTCTTCTCACGGGAATATGCTGTGTGTGTGGTCGTGTTTTAAACGATTTGTAGATTTTACATAAAGCACGCATGCGAAGGTTCCGGGTTCGATTTCCGACAGTACCAAATAGGGAAATGAACTTTTCTAAAATGATTTTGGTCTAGGTGTTGTGGAAAGTGTAGCTGAGGGAATTCCGTAGCTCTTGGTCCTGGATTTGATTTCCGGTAGAACCAGTTTCGGAAACGATATTTTCTAAAATGGTTTTGGCCTATGTGTTCTGGGTAGTGCCGCGCAGGGTATTCCGTAACTCTTGGTCCCGGGTTCGATTCCCGGTAGAACCAACTTGGGAAATCGAACTTTTCTAAAATGGTTTTGGCCTAGGTGTTCTGCGTAGTGCCGCGGAGTGTATTCCGTAACTTTTGGTCGCGGGTTCGATTCCCGGTAGAACCAATTCTTGGTAGTGCCGCGGAGTGAATTCCGTACATCTTGGGCCCCGTCGATCGATTCCCGGTAGAACCAGTTTCGGGAACGAATTTTCCTAAAATGGTTTTTTGCTACTAGGTGTTCTGGGTAATACCGCGTAGTGTATTCCGTAGCTCTTGGTCTCGGGTTCATTTTCCGGTAGAATCAATTTGAGAAATGTACTTTTGTCTGTTCTGTTGCATGTTGCCACCTGGTCTCAAACTAGGGAACTCCCTGTGCTCCTTATGAGTGCCAGAGAAACTGAATCCAAGCATAGGTATTACCAGAAACCCAGACCACACCCAAGTCCAGGAAGTTCATTTAAAAAATTTGTTGTATCGGGAATCAAACCCGAGACCAAGAGCAACGGAATTCACTCGGCGGCACTACCCAGAACACCTAGGC